TCTCTGCTTTTACTGTCATTACTCCCAAACCAACATCGTCACCTCGCTCTTGGACACTTTCTACACTCTCCTAGCCTGACTGTCCAGCTTTGTTCTTATCTGCAATGGACAGAGACTAGAGTAACTTCCAAGGCATAGGGCAGGCCATGCACCACTCACTCAAATGATAGTGCCCCTGCCTACCTCTCCCCTCACCACAGTCCCCTGATTTCTTTTTTTTTTTTAAGATTTATTTATTTATTTATTTATTTATTTATTTATTTATTTATTTATTTATTTATACAAGCACTGGGTACAGTCAGAAGCACAGGAGGGTGAGAGAATTCACCAGAGCCAGAGCGGGAAGCAGAACTGGCAGAAGAACTGAAGTACACTGCTGAGGGGAGCAGCGGGCGTGACAGGAGAGGTCTGTGCACCATGTGGACCCTCACTAGTGGCCAGGGATCGAACCGGCCCTGCAGAGGCTGCGGGCAGCTTCGCAGCCCAGCGCTCATCTGCTGCACCACTAGGAGAGGCCCCACAGTCCCCTGATTTCTGTGACTCAAACACTGTTCAACTGACTCTCTCCTGCCTTCAAATCTTTGCACCTGCAAAGGGCCATGAGAATAATTCCCTGAAATACTATTTCCATCATCCTTTGCTTGACAGGTCTATGTGGATGAAGCCGTCCTTCTTAATCTTCACTCTTCTCCCAATTTCTTGCTATCACATCACCCTTCTTGTTTTCTTTAAAATTCTTCCTGCAGTCTATAATTACCTTAGTGGTTTATTTGCTTATTGCCTGTATTCCCCAACAATCCTATCACCAGTCTATCAATAGAACCGTCTTGTATCTGGCTTCTATTGTTCAACATAATGCTTATGAAATTCATCTAGGTTATTGAGCATGTCACAGTTCATTGTGTTTTGTGACTATGTAGTCACTGTATGATGATACCATAATTTATGTAGCCATTGTCCTATATATAGCCTTCTGGGTTATTTCCCATTAAGGACTTTTATGAATACAGTTGTTAAAAGTATTCTTTTGCTGGATTTATGCACTCATTTTGCAAACCCAGAAGTGTTACTGCTGAATCATTAGGTGGAATTATGCTCAGCTTTCACAGATCCTGTCTAGTAGTTTTCCAAAGTAGTTGTACCATTTACTATCTCCAACCACAGAGTTTGTTCTACATCCTTCCCAACACTTGGTACTACCAGTGTCTTTTGTTTTGGTCATTCTGGTAGGTGCAGAGTAGTATCTCATTGCAATTAAAGTTGCATTTCTATGGTGACTGATGATGTTGAGTACATGCTTATTGGATAGGATCATTTTTCATTCGACAAAACATAATGGAGCAGTGTGTGCAAGTGACTGAAGCAATGGGGGATAAATAGCATTCAAGCTCTGGGGGATTCCAAATCATCTGCTTGTCTGTGCAACTCAAACACTTCTGCTTTTGGAAGAGTCCTCTGTAACATATTAAAAATGTAAATAAAGGGGCCTCCTCGGTGGCGCAGCGGTTGAGCGCTGGGTTCTGAAGCTGCCCGCAGCCTCTGCAGCGCCAGTTCGATCCCTGGCTGCTCCCCGGCCACCGGAGGAGGGTCCCACATGGCGCGCAGACCTCTCCCGCTGCCCGCTGCTCCCCTCAGCAGTGTACTTCGGTCCTTCTGCCTGCTCTGCTCCCCGCTCTGGCTCTGGTGAATTCTCTCACCCTCCCGCGCTTCTGACTGTACCCAGTGCTTGTATAAATAAATAAATAAATATTAAAGGGGAAAAAAAAAAAATAGATGGCGAGCATTTTAAAAAAAAAAAAATCTAAATAAATATACAGGCAAATCCCAACTGTTTTTCTGTTTTCTCAAACAAGGAAATATAACTGATTAGAAACAGGAGAGAGGGTATAGTGAATAGACCCTCATTCATTCAGCAAACGTTTCTTGAGCATGTATTATGTGCCAGCAATTGCTAGGCGCTGGACTACAGTGGTGAGCGATCTGGCTACTTTCCCTGGCCTAACAGAACTCACAGTTCAGCTCTTTGGGGCATGACAGTGTCCCCAGCGCCAAGTCTGACTGTTATTTTATACATTCTAGGCTGCGGACTGCTTGAGGGTAGAGTCCATGTCTGTTTATCTCCAAGTCCCCATTTTATATCTTCAGCACCTGAGGCATGTACTGGCATGTTCTCAGGCTTTGTAAGCCAAACTGCTAAACTTGAACCAATTCATTCACTTTACAGATGAAAACCATGAGACAGAAGCTAAAGAACACAGACATTGTACCCACTAAAAGAGGAGCAGTGTTGACATGAAAACCCAGTATTCTTCGTCCCTGTTTAAATCTTTGTCACACAGATACTGTTTTTGGCTGTGGGGAATTCTAGAATGTGGTGATAAAAATAGCCTATAGACTATAGCACATCCTATACCCATGTGCAAAATAAATGGCAGACGAATCTGACCTGTCGTTTCAGTTTGAATATTTTTCACTACAGATATTTAAAGGATCTCAGATGGTATTTTTTAAAAATTCTACAAATCCTTGTGCTGAAATCTTAAACACAAATCTAAGGAGTGACATCTCTGCAGGAAAATAAACATGGATCTCAACCCACCACTACTTTCTTCTCTCAAGATCATTGCCTCACAGGCAGGTCAGCCACGTCAGTGGAGCCCACAAAGTTATGTCGGTTTCCACACTTACGCCTCTTCTCTGCATACCATTCCATGTGAGCTGGCCGTCTCGGAGACCCGACAGCCTGGTACTGCCTCCTCCCACCACTACCCTCCATTCCTCCAGTTTATCTCTCGTGTCAGAGAAGAATGCAGTCTCCCAACTTGTGCATTCTGCCCCCAGCATGTGAGGAAAAGTCCTCAGCAGAGCCAGGGCAGGGACAGCTAAACCATCAGTGTCACCTGTGCCAGCCCCCTCTTTCCACCCCTGAATCCATAGCTATGAACAGAGTCTGACAGGACACTTTGGAAAGCACCAGTTCTAGGTCTCTGGAGCAATCTGTGGTAGGGGTATATACTTCCTGAGTTCTGGGGTTGGGGTGGGGATAGCAGGGGTCAGAACCCTAGAAACTGAGCCTGATGGTCTGGTGTGTTTACTGAGCCATACCTATGAGGGAAGGCCCACCTCACTAACGCCAGAGCCCGTGTGACTGGTCAACTATGTCAATAAACCCATGAACAGACGAGTGAGAATTGGGTCACCTTCCTCCTCACTGACAATGGAGACACCTATGTGATCTCAGCCAAGCCCTCTAACATGGACAGGGAGGGGTGGAGCAAGATAAGTTTTAACGTCACTTCTAAGGCCAAGAATCCATGACACCGATTTTGATCTAAATTCAGAAAAGCAGTGCAGCCAAGTGTATAATTCGCGGTCCTCTTTTTTTCCCCTCCCCTGCTGGCTTTGGGTTTACTATTACTCTAACCTTGTCATCAACTTCTTCCAAGAGATCTTTCTCCCAAAGATCCATGAGGGTACTGGAAATTAGGCTTAGAAACTTCTCTGTGACTAAATTTTCACCCGCCCACCAGACCAGGCCCCAACTCACCCCTCATCTGAGTCCTCCTCAGGCTGCATGCTGCCAGACCCGGCCGAAGATAGCAGGCTCTGGACTGGACATTCACTGTGGTAAGTCCTGCCCAGTCTTATCTGGGCCTGCGGAGGACACTGTGACTCACCACATACTCCTGCCCGTTCCTTTGTTGACCATTTCTCCTGAATGCGAGACTCTGCCCGGGGCACCTGGGTAACCGTGGCCCCATCCTCAGGAACGTCAGTCATAAATTCAGGAGGAGCCAGGTGCACTAGGCCAGGGCGCCAGGAACAGGACACCAATGGAGGGTCTGTTTGGGTGACATGTTGGAGGGTGTTGTAGCAGATGGCGTCAGTGCCCACCAGATGCCTCGGAGCCCTCCCTGGAATTGCTCAGTCCACGCTCAGGGCAAGCTAGATGTGCCAAAGAGCAAAACCGTAGGAAAAACTCCTGAGCCAATAAGAAACAGAAGCTAGTGGGGAAATAACCCCACTTCCTCACCACTAATGGAACAATCCCGAGGTGTGCTCCACATAGTCTCTCAGAGGGTCCCCATGGGGTACGGCAACCTGCTCCTTAACGTATCTGCACTGCCTCCCCTTCCCCATCTCGCTCTCCTTGCTTCTCACTCACCTCCCACAAAAACTATGCGCACCCAAGTCAACTTTTGAGGGAAGTCACACTACAGAAGAGGAGAGCGAGGTGGTCAGAGAGACAGCTTCCAGGTGCAGGGAGACAAAAGAACGTTCCTGGACAGCAAGGTCTGGGGTGGCCCTTATTGCTGGAAGAATAATTTTGAGGCTACCTGTGCAGAAAACTTCAAAGGAGAACCCCCTGAGATTTCTAATTATCCAGTTAAGCCAAGATGCCACTTGTGTGAGGCATCCTGGGATTCCTTGAGACTGCCCAGATACGGACTGACAGGAGGAAAGATCCCTGCAGTTCTGGTGTCAGGGTCTGTACATGTGCTGGGAAGATTAGCCCCTGCTAGACCTGGGCTCCCTGAACTGCCAGCAGGGCTGGATGGAGGAGGGGTGAGGGGGGCAGGGCGCACAGATCAAAGGTCCTCACACAAAATGACCAAATTTGGAGCTCCAGGGGGAAGGGCACTGTCTGCTCTAAACAAAACCCACTCAGCATCCCCACAGCTTCAGGGAGACTGCAGCTCTGATTACCAGGATCAGTCACCATGGCCAGGAGGCAGGGATGTTCCTTCTGCATTTCTGCCCACTTTACGCCTACGTCTTATGAGACACGAACATTCATGCTGTCACCAAACTGAGTCCAAGGGAAACCGAAGTCACCCTGAGGACTCTTGGATCTGGTTTGAGATCTGCCCCTGCTCCCAGACTCCTCTGAGGACCCTTTCCAGCCACTTTTTCCTTAAATCTCTGCAGGCCTTATAAGGGACTTGAGTATCATCCTCCTTTGGGAAAAGGGGTCCTCCCCCTCACACTGGCCTCAACCATCCCAGTAGACAGCAGCCACCTGGCATGAAGACCAGATTCCTGGGAGGTGATAGTGCAGCTCTGCCTCGCTGCCTTCGTTAGCCCTCTGTGTTCATCTTGGCCTGGGAGTGCTGCCTCCCTCCACTCTCAGGCTGGAAAGGTGCTGTGAGGAGAGGTGAAGAGGGGGGAGGGCAGGAGGAGGTGCCAGGCCTGAAAGGGGGCACACCCAGGCCGAGGCCCACAGTGGGTATTGGCTAAAGACCACAACGTCTCTGCTGGAAGGAGGGGCTGCAGGGGCTTGCAATATTTCAGGCCCTCTCAGTCGGTGAGGCTAGGGGCAGAGGCATCTGGAAAACAGACCTCCCTCTGGAATTCAGAGTTGAGTTGCTAAATCACTGAAGCCTGGAATCTATGAGACAAGACTGAGGACTGCAAGGGCCATCCAGGGGTACCACACTCCAGGAGAGCTTTCAGGTGAGTATGGAATACAATGGGATGTATGGATTCCTGATCTCAATTTCTAGAATCTTTCTCAAAGCCTTGACTGCTAACTAGCAACAGGGCAGCCCTTCCCCTGGAGCCTGGATGGATGCTCAGAGACAATGGGTGGCAAAGAACTGGAACAGGATCGCATAACTTTGGGAATAGGGGGATGTCAGGCACTAACCCCAAGGCCATCCCACAGTTGTCTGATCCACTCCTACCTGATCTCCCATCTGTGTTTTGCAACTCTGTAATCCAGAAATTCCATACTAGGTCTCCCGGGCAAAGCTGCCCTCAGGAGCCCTGGTTTTGTTGGACCAAGGTGGGAAGAGGAACTCGTTTCCAAGTTTCATGCTGCCTGGGGGCTCCCTTCTTTCCTAAAGGTAGCCCTGAGTGCCCCCCGCTTTAAAACGTCTTAAAATATGACCTGCAAATCAGGTCACACGCACACCAGGACCCAAGTGCAGCTGGACAGCTAGTTCTAAGGGGAACACTTGGAGCAATTGAGTTTCTTTGGAACTCACAAAATCTTCCTCAAGTCCCATATTTATATTCCAGCGGAATCTCCTCTGGATTTAGCTCATTCCCTGGATGATTATTGATAGAAAATTATGGAGCAGCGTCTGTGCACCTAGGGAGAGTTTACAGGGATAAAGGGCAAGTGCCCTTCCCTCTGGAAATTCTCGGCATGGGACAAGTGAAGAGTTACTGGGAGGTTCAGGGCCAGATGGGACAGAAGAGGAATGGTAACCTGTGGGTGGTCATCTACAAGTGAATTAGGGGGAAGGGCAGTGCTGGGAGAAGCCAGGGTGTACAGGGGGCACAAGATGAGGGAAAACATTCACTAGACACTCACGGTGATGAGGTAGGTCCCCCACCCTTCCCGGACATTGCAGGGCCTACTCTCCTCCTCAAGGCCCGGGTTAGGGGGCCATATTTACCGGCTTCACTAGGGGTTTCCGCTGGATTCAACTGGCTGGTGTTCTCTTCCCAGACGCAGGCCATGAGGTGGGTCTTTCTGCTGTTGCTGCTGCTGCTGCCTAAGGCGCTGCGCCCAAGCGGCGCAGGGCTGCTCCCGGAGACCGGCCCGATCTTCCGGCTCACTCAGCAAGGCCTCCGGACGAGCGGGCCCAGCAACACCACAAGCTCACCCTGCGAGGGGCTCCCCGCCACGGGAAACACGACCCTGAGTCTCACCAACCGCAGCCTGGAGCGCCTGCCCAGCTGCCTGCCGCGCGCCCTGCGCAGCCTCGACGGCAGCCACAACCTGCTGCGCGCCCTGAGCGCCCAGGAGCTCGGCCACCTGCCGCACTTGCAGGTGCTGACGCTAAGCCACAATCTCATCGCCTCGCTGCACTGGGGCCCCGGCGGGCCCGCGGGGCTGCACACCCTGGACCTCAGCTACAACCAGCTGACAGCCCTGCAGCCATGCGCCGGGCCTGCGCAGAGCAGCCTCCGCGCGCTGACGCTCACCGGGAACCCACTTCGAGGGCTGCAGCCAGGGGCCTTCTCCTGCTTCCCTGAGCTTCGGATCCTCAACCTCTCCTCCACCGCGCTGGGCTTGGACGCCCAAGGGGGCATCGCGGATGCGGCCTTCACAGGAGCCGGGGGTGTGCCCCTGGCCAACCTCGAGGTTCTGGACCTCAGCAGCACGTTCCTCACGCTGGGTGAGTCCCAGGCAGGCGGGTTGGCAGGGCCCGCTGAGCATATGCGCTCTCCGGCAAGGCCGTGAACTTGGCTGGGTGGTGATCCGGGGCCTCTTCACACCGCTGCTCAACACAACTCCACCTGAGTTAAGCCTGCCCCATACGAAGTGCCACGCAGGGGTTCACTCCTTGCGTCCCAAGAGGCAGGAACCACTGTTATCTCCGAGGTAGAAATGAGGGCACTTGGGTGAATGACTAGGTCAAGGTCTCACAGCTCCTTGAGGGGGCCTCCAAGTCCGAATCCAGGCACCCTGGGTCCTGAGCCTGCTCCTTCCCCCAATCTGTTGTGCTGCTTCCCAGCACGGCTGCTAAGTCCTGAATAGGGGGAGTGGATGCATGGCCTGGGGCTGATTTGGACAGAGCACCAAACATGCCCTGAAGCAACTGACGCTATTTACTTGGCCACAACTGTTTCTAAAAACGTTGAATCATTCCAATAAGACCCAGGAAGGTGAGAATTACACTCCCTATACTTGCTGCATCCTGGTTCTGATTCACAAAGTTGGTTTTGTTATTTTTAATAACATTTTATGTGTCTGTAATCACATGTTCCACCACAAAGAGTTTTTAAAAATTGAGAAAGGAAAACAGAGAGGAAAGCCAAAAATTAGGTTTGGGGGCCTCTTCCAGTCTTGCTCCTCCTCTCCTTACTTTCCTCCCTGAAAAATACCCTTCTCCACCCCTGGTAGCTGGCAGAGTGCGGTCTGGGGCATTTCTGGGTGGAGCTTAACAAGAGGACAGGGCAGCTGAGGGGTTGGAGGCAGGGTTCTGGGTTCAAGTCCTCTGACCCTTCCCGGCTATGTGACCTTGGGCCACTCATTCTCCCCTCTAGCCTTGACTCACTCAGGCTGGAAGAAAGCCAGGACTGACAGGTCATGTCTGCTGTCCCTTTGGGCTCATTTCTGAGATACATAAAGCTGATAACTGCGTCCACGCTCAGCAATGACCTTCCCAACTCACCTTGTCTCTCTTGTGGTTCCCTTAATACCACGAGGGCTGCCTGGGTTTGTCCTTCCTGGTAGTTGGCAGCTTCCCCTTTGTGTTCCAGTTGGGTCCGGATGGATCAGGGACCTGCCGAAGCTCAAGTCTCTCTACCTGAGGAAGATGCCCAGGCTGAGGAGCCTGGAGGGGCACATTTTCAAGATGACCCCTGAACTGCAGCAGCTCGATTGTCAAGACTCCCCAGCACTTACCTCTGTCCACACACACATCTTTCAAGACACTCCTCACCTGCAGCAACTTCTATTCCAGAAGTAAGTGTTTCTGAGACGCATCTGAATCACATGGCTCATTTTTGCCCATTATTATGTAGTATGTGAAATTATAGAACAAGTCAGACATTAATTCTCCTCCCACTGTTCCTTCAAGTCTTATTGGGGGTTGTTCTTCCTCACCTTTGGCAGACCACAGAGCACCCATCCAGCCTAACAACCATGCGACTCCATCTTGTCCTAAGTAGTATGAAAACCCCAAACCTCTTATGCATTTCAACCTCTAAAACTCTAAACCAAGGCAAGAAACTTACAGTAAGTGAGCCTCCCTGGTGGCGCAAGGGGTTAAGACGAAACCTATGAAGCTGTCGGGGCAGCCTCTTTAGCACGAGTTCTATCCCCCGGCCAGCCAGGGAGCACCCCACATGGCACAGCAGACCTTTCCTGACTCTTCCGCTGCTCCCCTCAGCAGTGTATTTCAGTCAATTTACCTGTTCTGTTCCCCACTCTATCTCTGGTGAATCCTCTCACTCGCTGCCCCCCACACCCCCACAAGCTGGGCTTGTACCCCAGCTCTTGTATGCATAAATAAATAAATCTTTTTTTAAAAAAAGAAATTTATAATAGGAAAAAGGGGTGAAGACATCAAGGTCTTCTCTGTTTCTGAGACCCCCCACTTCTCTACATGTTTATGCAAGTCAGCACCTTACTGGTTCGAGTGGGTCTAAAGAGGAAGGTCCTACTTGCAGTTGGAATCCTGGGTTGGTGCCCGCTGGCCTGGTGGATATCCAAAGTGTCGCCACGCCCACCCTCCTTCCCAAGAGCAACTGCTGTCCAGAATTGTCTCAGGAAGAGCAGCTCCCCTTTGAAGATGATCCCAGGTCACCTCCTTTCCTGAGAACCCACCTCTGGGCCCTGGGGATCAGGCACCACCACTGTAACATAGCCAGCCACTTCTCTCTTTTCTCTGCTAGCTCTAGCCACGTCAGTGGTTCAATGTGGAACTTCATGAAGCTCATGAAGAAATAGAATATGGAGAGTCCTTAGCTAGTGCCTGGCATTTGGTGTGAGCTCTAGAATATTAGTGAAGATGCTGGTGGTTGTGATGAAGGTGATGGTGAGGGGGTGAGCATGGCTGATGAGGGTGATGATGGTGGTGATTGTGCTTGTGTTGAGGAAAGTGAAATCTCTGGCTCCAACTCCTCTTTTGAGCTACAGACTGATGCAGCCTTCAGTGTGAGGTATCACAGGTGGCATGAACCTGCCTGGGCTCAAATTGTGACTCCGCCACTTCCTAACTGCGTGACTTGGGTCAAGTGACTTAACCCCCTGTGTCTGAGTTTCCTTGTGAAATGGGATTAAATGACCAAACCCTCATCCATTGAATTGTTGTGGGAGGAAATGTTTACCTACAACAATGCCTGGTCCTGAGCAAGAGACTATTATTATTATTCCACATTTACACAGGAGGCCTTATATATCTTTCAGTATCCAGCAGGCAGTTGGAGCTCATGGGAAGGCTTGGCTGGAGGGAACTTGCTGAGCATCTTCAGCATAGAGATAGCAGAGAGGCAGCAGGTGCTAATGGTGGTGACACTGACAAGGAGAGTAGAGAAACTATCAGTGGCAATGACAATGTTGATGGTGATGATGGTTTTGATGATCACGGTGTCACCATGGCCCCTGATTTCAGGGGCTGACAGTTCAGTGTAGACAGCAGGAATCTGTCCATCATCACAATACATTGTGACCTCATAGTATGTTACAATATAGTGGGCTAATGATCACCTCCATCAGACTGGAAGAAGAAATATCGTTGCACCTTATCTCCACTGGTGAGTCCAAACGCACCACGTGAATGCCAGAGAGAAGTAATGCATTCTTCATTCAGAAGGTGACCACTTCCTGTGGAAGTCAGATTTGATTGATTTTCTATGTATTTCAGCTGCAACTTGAGTTCATTCCCACCTTGGACCCTGCGTTCCTCCCAAGTGCTATTCGTCAACCTCTTTGGCAACCCTCTCACTTGCAGCTGTGAACTGTCCTGGCTCCTCATGGATGCAAAGACCATCTTAAGCAGGTATCACATTTAGAAAGCAGAGAAATTGGGGTGAGGGTCAGTCCTGTGAAGCTTAAGTTCTCACACCTCATGTCTTACCTGTATAACCAGGCTGGGTGGGTTAGCAGTTTGGGTAGTCGTGCCAGGCCCACTGCCCACTGGGAACCTCAGTTCCTATGCCCATCAGTCAGCACAGAGCTCGGGAAGAGCCATAGGGGAGCAACCTGGGAGGTTTTTAATGGGCCATGTTTACAGGTAACTCATCGCTCTGCTCCCTTCCCATTGGTCAGCAGTCAGCAGGCCACACCTATTGCAAGGGAGCCTGGGAAATGTAGTATAGCTGTGGGCCCAGTAGGAAAGGAAAATGGGCTAAGTGAACAGCTAACTTGCCTCTGCTGTTATACAGACAAACAGATTTGGCCCCCAAAGATCCATACAGCATTGCAGTGGAGGAGGTGGGTTCAATCTTCCTCCAAAACTACTCTTAACCCCTGTGGCCCACTGGGGCCCCCAATGGAGTCCCCCTGTGATATTCAGCCCAGGGCTGTGGCTCATGAACTCTCATAGAGCAGGAGGGAAAGAATCCCTACAGAGACTCCCCATTGGCTGTTGTCTGGAAGAGCCTTTTTTTTCCCTTGCTGTGGCGAACTGTGCCCTAGGTCACCAGGCTGGGAACGGCGCCAGGGACTTCTCCAGGATAGAGTATCCTTGTTCCAGCTCCACTCACGAACCTGTCCTCCTTGTAGCTCAGTTTCAGAAACACCCCACCTTCTTATGGGGAACTTTTTGCAAACTGACCCAAGCCCAGCTGGGACTCTGTCCCATGGCCCCCTTCACGTTGCTTCCAAAGACAAGCATGAGGCCTTTGCGAGGAAGGGGCTCACTGTGGTGCAACACAGAAGTGAGGCAGTCAGGCTCTTCATGCCATTTACCCCTGTTGATTTTGGCTTTTTTTTTTTTTTTTTAATATTTATTTATTTATTTATACAAGCACTGCGTACAGTCAGAAGCGCGGGAGGGTGAGAGAATTCACCAGAGCCAGAGCAGGGAGCAGAACAGGCAGAAGGACAAAAGTACACTACTGAGGGGAGTGGCAGGAGAGGTCTGCGCGCCATGTGGGACTCTTGTTGGGTGGCCGGGGATCGAACAGGCACTGCAGAGGCTGCGGGCAGCTTCGCAGCCCTGCGCTCAACCAGGGGAGGCCCCAGACAATCTCTTGCCAAGACTTGTCAGCACCTCTGCCAAGTGCCACATGGTACTCACTCTGCAGGAAGCATCTCATGAACCCTCAGGGCAATCTAGGAAGGAAATAAAAACTTAGAAAGGGGAACTACCTACCTAAATTACCATGGCAAGACAATGGCTGAGCCTAAACGTGGGAGCACCCTGAGGGGCAGTGCAGATTCTCCTAAGAGTGGTATGCCCTTCCTGGCCGTGCGCAATGGCGGTAATACTCAGACTGGTCAACTATCCTGAGTGTTTACCATGTGCTGGGGGCTGTGGTAAGCACTTTACTCTATCAATTAACTTACTCTGCACTACTTTATGTGGTAGGCACTATCATCCCCATTTTACAGATGAGAAGGAAAAGACAGGCTAAAAAAGAGCCAAAATCGGGCCTCCCCGGTGGCACAGCGGTTGAGCGCTGGGTTGCGAAGCTGCCTGCGGCCTCTGCAGTGCCAGTTCGATCCCCGGCTGCTCCCTGGCCACAGGAGGAGAGTCCCACATGGCGCGCAGACCTCCCCTGCCAGTGCTTGCATAAATAAATAAATAAGTCTTTAAAAAAAAAAAAGATTGTCTGCATGGAGGAGTCAAAGTGTTATAGGACAAGAAGAGGGGCAGCCCAAACCCCGCAAACCTGCCTATTCTAAATGGGTTCTGCCATCCGCCGCATCAACACAAAACATATGAGACTTTAATGGGAAGGAACTTTAATAAAACTAGGAAACAATACAGGTGAGGCAAAGAGTCTAGTTTCTAAATGAAGCACCCAAAGTTACCCGTCCCCTCGTGGGTAAAAGTCCATCCAAATGGGATCGGCCCAGAGCAAGGCCCCAAAGCCTGCTACAAGTCTAAAGCATCTTCCAGTGGGGACCCACAGAAAAGGGTCACAAACAAGTGGACAAGCCCGGAAGGAAAAGAGCAAAATCAACATCAAGATAAAAGCTGCCATTGTCACCTCCCCACGGGTCTCACCCACATCTGTGTCACCCAGTCCACGACCAAAAGACAAGCACAGTTTCTTCACATGTCTCTAGGCTCCACGCGCCTCCTCCAGGTCTCCTGGCTCCATCCTGCTTCCTTCCTTCCTCAGTCTCTTCTGCAGCTTCTCTTCTTCCTGCTCAGCTCCACCCTCCCTTGGGTGGGGCCGGGAACCTCCCCCTTTCCTGGGGACCACCCTGTTACAAAAGCCCAGCCCAGAAGGAGCCCGTCTAACTGACTGCTCTCCCCTCTAGGGCAGCAGATACTGAGTGCAAACCAGCTGCAGGATCCAGCCCCGTGTTCTCAACCCCGCTCTGGCTATCCCAGCTGCCTGGTGTGTGCCTACTGGCCGAAGGCACCGCGCTCCCTCATTCCAGCTCACCGGCCTCTGTCAGCAGCACCCACGCACCGTATACACATCTTCCCTCTGACCTGGCAGTGGCAGCTCCTACCTCCCTACCTGCTCCTACCTCCCACCCTACTCCTACCTCCCAACATGCAGGAGTCCGGCCCACCCCTGGAGCTGTGTGGCCACTGGACGGTGTCGGGGAGGCAACCACTCGCTCCTCCACCACCACTGTAGCGACTTCCGAACATGTGGGTGTTCCACCTGGGGCTGTAAGCACAGCCGGGACAGAGCCCGGAGAACAAGCTGCGGGGCTTGTCTTGGAACCTAATATCTCAGCAGCCTCCATCCCCTGGGTCAACAAACACCTTGGTCTCCTCCCGACCTCCCGCAACCCAGTGAACACGCACCAGAGGACACGGGCCACCCCACAGGCTCCGCACCCGACTCCTACCCAGGGTGAGATCCCAGTCCTGATACTGGATGACTCCAGTGAGGAGGAGGAGGGGGAGATGGTGGAAGCGCTTGCCCAGGGTGTCCCCTGTGATTACCACCCCTGTAAGCACCTCCAGACCCCATGCATGGAGCTGCAGAGGCGCCTGCGGTGCCTGTGTCCTGGCCTCAGCGGGGAAGACACCCTCCCGGACCCTCCCAAGCTGCAGGGGGTGTCGGAGACCACAGACACCTCCGCGCTCATCAGCTGGTGTGCCCCCAACTCAGTGGTGCACGAGTACCAGATCCACTACGCTCGCGAGGGACGGCTGGGGAACCAGTCGGTGGTGGGGGACATCTATCCCACCGCCCGACAGCACCCCCTCTATGGGCTCGAGCCAGGCACCACGTACCTGGTGTGCGTGCTGGCGGTCAACAGGGCGGGCCTGAGCCCCTCGGACGCTGAGGGTTGGAGCAGGGCCTGCACCACCTTCACTACCAAGCCCAGCTTCGTGCTCATCTTCGCGGGGCTGTGCGCCGCCTGCGGCCTGCTGCTCGTCAGCACGCTGCTGCTGTCCGCGTGCCTCTGCCGGCGCCGCCCCTGGGCTCGCAGGCAGCGCTACGAAACGCACCTGGTGGACTACAAAAACCCAGCCTTTGACTACCCGCTGAAGCTCCAGACCTCGAATCAGCCCTCGAATCCCTGAATTCTCCTGAATTCTCCTATAGACAAACTCAAGCTAAGAAACTGGTTGCCTATGAGCAGAAGATCCAGAGGCTTGGAAACTGCTCCCCCAGCTCTAAAGCTTTCTAATTCCGGTGCCCCCAGCACTGGTGCACACAAGGAAATTGGCAGCTGAGCATCTCAGTCCAGGGAACAAGTTCCTTTTACTTCCTTTTACTTTTCCAAATTTGTCATGATTTGAACTAGATGCATCAATGTAGTCAACCATGTCTAGTTCCAACATTTCCGTTCCCAGAAATATGAACATCAATGCCAGAACACACCCATTGCCACCGGGCATTCTTGTGCGCCATTTTATTTGGGCTTTTCAGTAGTCAGAATCCCTCAGGGTCAGTAGAGAAGAATTGTGTACCCCACTAGGAAAGGATACAACAGAAATCACATAAGCCAGACTCTCTGGCCTCATTGAAAGAGACATTCTCAAGTCACATCAAGCAGGTTCCCTCTTAGTCATGCTTTGGCTAAGGCACATGTTATTCAAGGAATCCAATCAACTCTAGTGGTCTTCATTTGAGAGCTGGGGGGTGAGAAAGGAGTTACTGGCTATGTTTCCTGAGGTCTTCCCAGGTCAATTAGTTCCATTTGAGGATATGCCCCACCCCCACCCCTCACACACACAGCCCCCCGCCCTCCCAAATGTGCTGGAAAGCTTTATAGGGAGACTGCAGTCTTCTGGGAACATTTGTGAAACACAAGGCTGGCCTTTTTAAATGCAGTGCTCACTGCATTTCACCTTAGTGGACAAAGGAACTATGAACTTAAGGAGGTATAAGTTCACTTTTAGGGACATTTTTAGAGAAAAGAGCAAAAGATTATTAACTTGTGGCTCTAATTTGAAACCAAAGCATTTCTCTGCTCCTGCCCAATTGCATCAAAATCTGTGCTTCACGGATTTGTATCTGACTACGGGCATGTCTTACTCTTCACTGGTTCACTTTTATACAAATTTAGGGAGAAAAGTGATTTTATGAAATCCTCCTTTATGATGGAGGATTTTTAGATTTTAATTTTCTAGATTTTAATTTTCTACGTTAGTATTTGTTAGTTTCCTGTGGCTGCTACGACAAATTACCACAAACTATGTGGCTTTAAACAATTTATTTTCTTACAGCTTACTAGAGAAATCCACAATCAAGGTGGAGTTCTCAATCCCCCTCAAGACTCTGACAATTGGTTCAAGCCCTTCACGTGGCTTCTGTTGGCTGCGGAAATCCTTGGTGTCGCTGGCTCACAGACCTCTCATGCCCACCTGTGCCTCCATTGTCTCGTGGCAGTCTGTGTCTGAATTTCCCTTTTCGTTTTTATTTTTGCCCTAGTTTTATTGAGATCTAACTGACATAACACTGTGTATATTTAAGGTGTTCAACATGATTTTATATATATGTATACTAGGAAATGATGGCCACAATGTTGCAACTTTCCAGCACACAGGCTTCATATCTATTTTCTTCTCAGCAGCGGGATTTCCACTTCCCGTCTCAGAGCCTCCCAGGCCAGACACCACCCTCCTATTGTCTCACTGCCCCTGTTCCATTTACAGGCAGTGTCCTTGACCGCAAGGACAAGGATCCTTAGAGGGACAGAGGATCACCCTTAACGGCATGCATTTGCTTCTGATTTCCCATTTCAATGTAACACAGCTTATCAGGCGGTGCTTGGATTACCCCACCATAGGATTTCACATTAGGCTTAAGAGGAGCACATGGGCAGCAAGAGATAAGAGGACGTGCCTGCACCAGCCCTTGTCTTCCTCTTCCCCTCTCCCTGCATCTCTCACTCTCCTAAATATGACAATGTAATGAAAGTAAGCGCTTTTAAGGCAGATGGTCCCAAACTAATTATTTTTACAATATAAGTACAAGTGATACATCTGAATGGACTTTATCAATCAGAAGACTTACCCAGCAGCTGAGGGCCACAATATACTGTACAGAATGACTCAAGCCGAAGGTTCACTTTTCTCCCCCAGCTTTTATTCTTTTATCATCTTAACAAAAGAGGATTCCCCAAGTTTAAAAAATCTTTGAAAAATAAACAGTTTCATATTATTTACATGAGTACAGGTTCCAATATTATATAAACATTGCTCTGTCAGAAACACAATGGAAGGCATGATGTAGCTCACTGCCTCGTAGATGGCAGAGTCGAATGGACAGGCTTTCATATTCCAGCTACCTTTATTACTTATCCTGATACATAAACTATTAGGCACCTGAGAGGTTGGAAGACAACATGAACTCCAGTACCTTCTGTTTTGATCTTATTTATTATTTTCAAAACTTAGGTATTTTAAGTTTCTTTATAAGCTTACTTCATCTATAACTACGCTACCTTTTGTTTTTGTCATTATCCTAAATGATCAAGGATGAAACACAGGAACTGTTAATGTGTACATAGATCTAAAAATCAAATATAAAAAATGTACAGCTAAGTTCTATAGGATGTATATTTAAACCCAGAAGTTCCCTAGTACTTTGGGAGCAATCTAAATTCTACCTACAGTTGGCAACTCTCTGGTTTCCATGTTCTGCACAATTTTTTTTAAGCACATGTAAAAATGACACTATTTTTTGTAATTGGTATCTTAGAAGTTAATCAAGAAACCTAAGATAAAAAATTCTAAATCATAGTTTTATTTGTATTTAAAAATACATTGCAAATTCTTGCATATGCCCATGATCAAGATTATTTTCAATGCACATTACTTAAATTTGGATGACATGGTTTTTTCTGACAAGTCCTTTTTCAAGCTGAACACCAAAACAGGGAAACTCCTATAGATTTTCAGTGGCTCTGCCGCCGATGATGATGTATATTGCTTCCTTGCTGATGACAATGGATGACTTTCATCTGCCTTTTATCACCTGAACAGTTTTCCGACCATAATGATAATAACTGTAAGCTGATGCAGCTGTGGTAAAAGCTGTAAAACACCTTATATGGAAGGAAAGAAAGAAAACAGTGTCAAATCTAAAAAACAGTAACCATGAGAACCCATAAAGAATAAACTTAAAAGACACTTTTAAAAGTAGAGAGGGCTATATGGCATGATTTTAACTACAAGAATCAAAATACAGTGGCCTTTCCTTAAGACTTCATTTGAACTGTAATGTCAAACAATCTCGTTAATGAGCATGAAAAAATACTACTAGTAAACTGTCATTTTTACCCAGACATTATTCCAGGTAGCTTATGTTCTCATTCTCACCGCAACCTCATCGTACAGAGGAGGAAACAGAGCCCACAGCACTCGCACAGCCGTAGTGCTGTGCTGGAGCCTGGCTTGGCTGCAGCCTGAGAGCCCATGTGATCTCCCCTGCTACACAGATCACTGAACTCCATTTCCTGTACACTGAGAATTCTACTCTCTGAGTCATTTTAAGTAAATTTCAGTTTTCTTTCACTGATTGCTCCTTAACCGAACTGCTAGGCTAACAAAATTCTCATGGCTTGCTGAATGACTGCCACTAGTGGGCCACCACTTTTCAGTGTACCAAGCACCCATGCTGTGCCTGGTCAAGGTACAGCATCATCAAGCCTCATTTTTGATTAACCCCAAATCTGTTTATGTCAAATGACAGCCTAAATTCACACGTGAAACCAGTGAAACAATGTAACTGTGGGAAGAATTGCTATTTCTGAAAAATATTGTCCAATGTAACAGTGGAATGGTAATGTTAAAAGATTGGAGGAAAAAAGCGTGAAAATATAAATAGTTCCTACACTCGGGCTGCCTCAAAAATGCCTTAAATTCTTGTATCACTTTAAAAAAGCAAAAAGTGAAAATCAGAGATTGTATTAGTCTATTCAAGAAAGAAAACTTCCACTGAAAGGCCTATACTCAAGAAACGGTAAGAGTCTTGTATCAGAAGACATAAGCTGAATCAGAATGAATGTACACTTGTATATCTGAGAAAATAAAATGTTTAGTACGTGTATCATTTTAAAGGTTCTTTAATTTAAACTTAGATTTAACCACTTTCTCACTTACACTGCCTCAAGCAAGACAGTTTTAATTATAGAGTTAACAGTATACTAAAATGTAGTGCTTCAACATCAGTGTGCCATATTTTGGGCTCTTATAGTTTAGATTTGACACATTTTCAAGGCTATAAACAAGCCTAATAAACTAAAATTCAAACTCTTTTCTCCAAGTTCTCTCCCACTGTGGCCCTTCATGAGGCTGAAGGGGCACACTGTCCTCTACACGCTCTGCACCTCTGACTTTGCTCAGGGCTTCCTTCACCTGAAAAGTCTCCCCTCAGTGCCTCCCCTGGCCTCCCACATAAGGCTCAGGCTTAAATACTGCTTCCTTCCCTAAAGCTGTCCTCCCTACTACCTGGAAGTTACTTCCCCAAAACATGATCTAGACCTCCCATCCTTTTTGAGTTGCAAGAAAGCTCCTCTATATAATTTCTATATCCTGCTTGATACTAAATTTAAGAATAGTATCAATCATAAAATACAGTCCACAGCTCAATAAAGATTATAGAAAAAAGTAATTCTAGGACTGTCAAAATAAGTCTTTTTGTCAGTCATCGGTAGAGAGTAACTCTAAATTTAACTTACCACAGCATCTGAAGATAAATGCTGTCAGCATAGTTGAAAACTGGAGCTGCCAAAGAAGCTGCCACCAAGATCAACTGCACAGCTGTGTTTACCTGGGAAAAAAAAGAAAGACACTGCCAATCAAAGGCACCCCCACTACACTGTAACATGACATTCCCTTCAGCATGCTTGACACTGTATCTCCCTGCTCAACAGGTTGGTATTCACACAAAAGGTTTATTAACTTTACTAAATAACCCATCTATCTGCCCAGCTGCCTTTTACAGTAAAAACTAGGGGGACTGTCAGAAGGTAACACCACCTGGATTTTCCAGAGCAATTCAACACTGCAAAGGTCTTTGCCTTTTTTTAGTTGTCCATTAAAACAACCCTGTAGATACAGAAATACTTACGCTACCTCTTCACAGGTGAAAGGGTAATGAGTAAGTGACTGGCCTGCAGTCACAGCATGTTACAGAACTGAATCTAGAAATCAGATTTCTCCACAACTCATTTAATGCTACCTGTCAAACCCAGGAAGTTAGAAAGTTGAAAAGCACTCATTTCCAGGAGAGATGCTCTCTGGAGAAAATGATTACGTGTCCCTACTCTAAAAGACAGAGTAGAGGAGAAAATGAAAAACAAAACAGAACCGAAGACTCATCTACTCATCATGAGAAGTCTCCTGTGGGAGTGCGTGTGAAGTACAGATCAGCAGCCAAGTGCCTAGAGGAGCACCTCTGCTCTCTCATACATTCTGCAGCCAAATGTCAATGATTCCATTTCTTTTTTAAAAATAATGAAAATTGGGCCTCCCCGGTGGTGCAGCAGTTGAGCACTGGGTTGCGAAGCTGCTCGTAGCCTCTGCAGCGCCGTTTCGATCCACGGCTGCTCCCCGGCCACCGGAGGAGGGTCCCACATGGCGCGCAGACCTCTCCTGCCGCCCGCTGCTACCCTCAGCAGTGTACCTTGGTCCTTCTGCCTGCTCTGCTCCCTGCTCTGGCTCTGGTGAATTCTCTCACCCTCCCGCATTTCTGACTGTACCCAGTGCTTGTATAAATAAATAAAAATAATAAATCTTTAAAAAAAAATAATGAAAATAATCTAGACAACTTCTTGCAAGAACAAAGATTTGAGGCACCTGTTTCTTCACCTCTTTAATTCATGTTCTATATAGTGCAAAGCTCAAATTACTGTACTTGAGACAAATATAATATGGATCCAAAAAAACCCAATAAATATAGGTGAAAGTCCACCCCAGAGAGTCTCTAATACAAAAATAATCACTCCTTGCCCCTAACCTGTTAAACCTCTGCTGCAAGGAATAAGGTAAAAGAATTAGGGCAAACTATCAAGGCAACTAGAAAGCAAATACATCTTGAGGGCATTAACCGTGTCCTCTCTGTGTGCTAAGACAAGCACACTCTCATTGTCCTGACGTGTTCTGCCACTAAGAGTGGCGTTATTATTAAATAAAATTCTCTCCTCTTCCTTTCCAGGTAACAATCAATCTTGAAAATGAAAGAACCTTATTGTGTGGTGTTTTCACCATGGTGGGGGCGGGGGTGGGGGGGAGAATGAAACCAGAAACAAACATTCATCTCTTTGTATCTCAATCAAAATGCAATTACATTTCCACTCCCCCTGTCTTCCTGAGAGGGTAGCCCCATCACCTCATCTGGAGACTTCTCAGACCTCCAACACAGAACACCAACATCCAAGGTTGGAGGACACATTACAAGAAACATTCACAAGGAAATATTTTAAAAGGAAGTTCTGTTTCTTACCTTGCTGATAAAGGTTGGTTTTAATCTAGCAGTGGCATAGCAAGGGTTGAAATACTTAGAAAGTGTTCGCTGGCAGAAGACAAAAGAGAAAGTAAATTGAATTTATATTTCAAGTTGAAAACAAACATGTTATTACATGTAGATTATAGTTACTGAGTGCTCACCCCATGCCTGCCTCTATGCTAGTTAAGTCCCTTATCTGCATCTTCTTTTATTCTCCTACATGGCCAGTATCTACATTCTTTATAAGCCATACACCAAATTACTGAAAACATTTTTTAAATTTATAGATTTTTCAATTTCTGTAAAATTCTTAAAAAATGACTATCATAAAGTCTGCTTCACTGCTTCTTTTTACTAAATAAAATCAATAAAATGCCCTTATTACTTTACTGGGTAAAAGTGAAATGAATAAAATATTATCTTCACAGAATTGGGAACCAAAAGATGAGGCTATTATGCCATGCTTATGTGCTCAAATACAGTGGTACAACCTATGAACAAATATTCAGACAAGCCATTCCCTGCACATACAACTGTGACTTTAAAAGCCAGTCCTAAACAATCCATAGTAGAGGTTAAATTGCATAGAGAAAGGGGCTGGCTACTGCAAACACTCCTAACAGTTTGTTAATAGGGACAGGGCTGCTAGTGTGGGTTTTATGTGCCCACAAATGAAGATATTTGACATAAAATAAAAACGTGCCTTTTTTAAACTAAATATTCATGTGTTAGCCAAACATGGGTGATTTAAATAGCATGATCATTACGTGTTTTGCTTTTTTTTTTAATTCTTGGAAACTGGCTTTAAAAATAATTGCCATAAACTATTACTATAAACTGAAACTCAGTACACAATACAGTGTGGGTTTGGTGGGTTTTTTTTTTGCCTTAAGTTGTAAGAATGTTAAAGAATTAAAAAAAAAAAAAACCAAAAACTCACCGGTGTTGGAAGAGTTCGATATCTGACATAAAAAACAGCAGCAATCAACATTACATCTCTTGAAATTATCATATAAGTAAGTGGAACTGAAAATCAAATACAAAATAATTTTGATTGGAATTCAGAAGGTGACTAGAACATTATGCAAGAAGTGTCATTCAGTCTTACCACAAACTGGTATTTCACATTAGTAAACATTTCACAGTAAACACTTATTGATGGTTTATAGTCCTTACACGAAACCCTGATCTGTATATTTTCTAACCTGTCCTCAAACCAAAGTGAAAGCAGACTGCAGCCTCTCAAGTCTGTCTCTGCCTTTCAGAATGTTGATCCTTTTGCCTCTTTTTTTTCCCCTGGATGTTTTCAAGCTACAGTTACCAGTGTGAGCCCTGCTCAGTCCCCATTATCTCCATTGTTACTTCTCAGTTTTGTTTGGATGATCATTCTGCTCAGCATAATTACATGGAATAAGATGGTTAAGAGGTTGGAAAGGATGTGGGAGGATCCAACTGTTCGGGAATCTCCGAGGTTCTGAGTGCTTGCTTCTTACATTCTAGACTACATTCATGAACAGTAAAATGTGTGTGTGCCACTTGTGGGGAAACAAAGTATTTTCACTCTTATCTGGACAGTCCCAGACAAATGGTGTTTTCTCCTGCCACAATCATTTAGTGAATTCTTTTTTTTTTTTTTAAAGATTTATTTGTTATACAAGCACTGGGTACAGCCAGAAGTGCGGGAGGGTGAGAGAATTCACCAGAGCCAGAGCGGGGAGCAGAACAGGCAGAAGGACCGAAGTACACTGCTAAGGGGAGCAGCGGGCGGCAAGAGAGGTCTGCGCGCCATGTGGGACCCTCCTCCGGTGGCCAGGGAGCAGCCAGGGATCGAATCGGCGCTGCAGACGCTGCGAGAAGCTTTGCAACCCAGCGCTCAACCGCTGCGCCACCGGGGAGGCCCTCATTTAGTGAATTCTAATTAAACATGAATTCAACTGTCAATAGTTGTCTTATTATTCCTCAGACACCACAACATGGCCACAGTGCCAGAGCCAGCAGGATATTTTAGAGGAACACCCTTGCTGAACAAGAATGAGAGGACTTGTTTCACTTTACAATCTTCTGCAGTGTGGGAAGGTTTAACCATGAATATTTTACTTTTATAAGAAAAAAAATTTTCTTAAGAAAGGGGGGTAAATCCTGAGGTTAACAGTTCAAATTGTTTCAACTACTAAAATGAAAGGATCATGAATTTTCTTCCAACATACTTCCAAACAGCTCTCTTAGGGGAATTATTTTAAAACTATACTGTTTTCTCCAGTTTTGACATTCTTTTGGTTGTACAACTTGAGCAAAATTGCATTAATTTAAAATTCAAATCTCAGCTCCTCACTGTGCTCATATAAGCGTTGACCCTGTCCTAGTCCTTAATAACAAGACTACTCAAGGAGAAAATGCTTATCCACTCAAGCCATAGCATTATAGCACACAGAAAACAGCCTGAGCCAAGTAACAAGTCACTCATGACTTTCAGGAGTAATTTTGTGCCTGTGAAACACAATTCTAGAGCAATCATTAGCTGGCAAAATTCCATTTTCAAATGCAGCAAATTACATATAGTAAACACCCTAAGCATGACTTTAGAAGAAAATAAACACCTGTTATTGTATCTCATCACCCTGGGGCAAAAAACACAACTTAGTCCTAAACAAGAAGTGTCTGCAGAAGAGGAGATATGATTCAATATACCACAAAGACTTGGGTTCTAGTTCTAGGTATTAATTACCAAAATTGGCATTGACTGAGCATCAAGAATTGCTTCAAGCATTTTACACATATTATGTCATTTAATCTATATATCAACTTCATGAAAGAGATTACCATTATCCATGTTTTATAAATCAGGAAAATAAGCCTCAGAAAGATTACATAACCTGGCCTAGGTGAGCAGGTTGTAAGTAGTACAGCCAGGAATGGAACTTTGGTCTATGGGAATTCTTAGCCTATGCTCAGGGGAGGTATTAGGCTCAACTCTGCAGTGTGACTAGCAATTAGCATCTCTGGACTCAGTTTACCATCTGTAACTGGCAGTGAAAATGATTATTAAAAATCAAGGGTTCCCCAAACTGAATGTCCAACACAAATCACCTCCACAAAGCTTTGCAAAGACACAGATGAAAGCTCTCTAGGGATTCCCACACATAAGGTCTCTATCAACTGACAATGTTTATACAGGCTCTTTCTTTGACTCTTTGGGCAATATTACTCAGTCCCCCAGCTTTTGCCTCTTCCAGCCACCCCTGCTTTCTCTCCTGGCCTTCTCCCCTTTCCTTTTGTTTCAGGACTAAAGCAGCTTTTATTCTGCCTATTAGAGTATGGAAGTATGTTCGTGGGGGGTAAGTGTATATAAAATGTGTCAGGGATTGCACCAAGATTTTCCTCCCTACTTGTTAACTAAGTCTGAAAAATAATTAATGTTTGCACTAGGAGGTAGATCACTGGCAAATTCTATTAAAAGGAAGTTAATAAAATCAAGTCACTTTTACATATTAAAAGTGATCATTTGCATGTTATAGATTAGTGTGGAAATAATTTAACAACAGAATAATTATTCTAGAAATTAATTTAAATCAGAAACAAGAAATAATATAACAATACAGAAAAGAATCACTGTTTGGTAAACGTAGCACAACAAGTGCACATAAGCAAGTAAGGAGTAATTTGGATTCACACACCACGGAGTCATAAATGTAACATCATAACAAATCAAAGTATTAATTTTGACCCCTCTCTACCTTCCTATAGAAAAAGCAAGTATAAAAGCAGATTAACCTAGTTGAGCAAGAAAGCTAATTTCCTACTCTTGAAGAAACAAGGTCATTATAATCAAGGTGGATGAAACTTTTATTAAAATGCAATATAAAAATAAGATGCAAGATTTCATATATGCAGCTCCCTCCCCCAAATCCTTCTATAATGATAGTAAAGGAATAAAAGGACTTAAAATCATAAAAAGAAGAGAATGGGTAGAAGAGACAAATTTTAAAGCTAAGTTCATCAGTAATAATTGCATTAGGAGAGGTGGGAGAGCTGAAACCAAAGTTCCTTAGAAAGGAATGCTCACAAAAAGGCTAATTTATACCAGAAAAATGGAGAAAGCCCATATAATAAGCAATTGATCCCTGTCCCCAGGTCCCTCCCTAGCCCCATTTCTCTAGGTCCATACCACAGGATGAGGTCTCTGCTGTTAGAGTGTTTACATTGTTAAATGGTTGGGGCAGGGTGGGGGTGGGGGAATACTGAAAGACTTCTATTTCAGGATGGATGAAAGTTATATGAAATTCAATTTCTAGTGCCCACAAGCAAAGTTTTATTGGAACACAGCTATACTCACTCATTTATATATTCTACGGACATTACAACAGCAGAGTTGAGTAGCTGCAACAAAGAGCACATGGCTTGCAAAGCCTGAAATACTTACCGTCTGGCCCTTTATAGAAAAAGTTTGTCAACCCTTGTTTTACACATTAATCTCTGAACACGATAGAGGGGATAACTGTGTTACAGTGGAATTAAGCTTAGATCAACATACGGAACATTGAGACCCTCCCAGATTCCACCAAAAGCTTAGCTTCCAAGCACTGGTGGCAAGAACTCTTATCTAAAGAGAATTCAGGGCCAAGCTTTGTCCCTGCCTGTTACTCCATTTTTCTGTTACAAGTTCCACAAGTTCCATGCTTAACAAACTCCACCAAAATGCAGATAATGCACAATTAGCACTTTATGCCGTGAGCAGCCAAGGATCATCAGACTCTTCAGGAAAATCTCCATCATGACAGAGAGGGGAAAAGGGAGCTTGAAAGAAATAGCAAAAATGGGGGTGCGCAAAACCCTTAAAACCCTATGTACATATATATGTATAAAGAGATAGAAGACATCATAAATAACACTCATACTCGATATAAGACAAATACATATTGTTTTTTCCCACACAAAATAAGGGCTCTTGGAAATTAAAAATGATAGCAATAAAAACACCAAGAGCAGGAATAAGTGACAAAGTTGGGGACAACACCCAGGAAAAGACAGAGTTAAAAAAACAAGGTAGGAGATAAGAGAATTGATCTATAAATGTCAACTTTGATTAAGAATTCCAGGAAGAAGAGAAGCAAGAAAACATGGGGCAGAAAATTATCAAAGACATAACAGAATACAATTTACAGGATTGAAGTATGAATTTTAAGACTGAAGGGGCCTACTTAGTACCCAGCACAATAAGAGAAAGACAAATTCTAGTTGGAGCTAGACCACATAACAGTGTCAGATTTCAAAATTACAAGGAAAATGAAAAGATAATGGGGTTTGGCCTCCATGAAGATCTGACTAAGTTATTTAGAACAATCCTCTGCTAAGATAGCTAAACAACATTTTAAAAATCATGAAAGCATTTTAAAAACATTTTAAAAATCATGAAAGCAAAAAGCTTATAAGATGCAAAGGAAGTGTCAGGCTAAAACCTGTTAAAGTGTAAGAACTCTCCAAAAAAGCCCAGACATTCAAAACCACTATCCCTAGTCCCAGGAAGTAGCCACAAAGTTGAATGGCGTTTTTTGTCAGTCACATGTGCAATAACAAAGCCCAAGACTTCAAGACTTACTTAAGACTGAAATACTCTACACTTACTCCTACCAAATGTCAGTTACACCATACTCCTGAAACCGTGGGGTAGTGTCTATGTTCTCAGATTCTATTGCAAAGAATTGGAAAAAGTTTAATCTAAAATATGGGAGAAAAACAGAAATACAGCTATAAGAGAAAATGAATAATCAGAAAACCACATTCAAAATGTAAAGCAAAAGATCATAAAATTTTTGTCAGAAAGAGTACTCATATAATGTACAGATTTATGTATAATTTGAAATTGTAATAATAATGTAAAATTTTATAGACATCTTCAGAATTTCAGAACACTCATTTATTACGATTAAATTGTATTTAAATAACAAGACATAAGAAAATTTTAAATTCTTTCAAAAAGCTAGGCACTGAGAAAATATAATACAGTTTCAAAAGATTCTAGACTAATATGAATTGGCACTGTGAAATAGTTGTTGCTCAATTTTAACTTTATCCATTTTACTAAGAAAACAATGGATTCTAGTAGTATAACATGGACTTAAATTCTAAAGTAAAACAAGCAGCTTCACAAGCAAAATAGTTCAATAGGTTAAAAGTAGGGAAATAATTTAAAGTTGAAAAATATATTTTTGAAACAAAAATTATCTTGTCTCAATCAAGAGACATCCTCAGTTGACTAATGTCATCCTCCCCTGTGCTATTTAAAAGTACGCATGATGGCGCTCTTACCTGGAATAAGATCTGCATAGGTCAAGCTAATATATAAGATACTGATAAGTATTTTATCAGCAAGTGGATCAAGAGCACTTCCCAAAGCTGATTTTTGATTGGCCCAGTTTCGAGCAATAAATCCATCCAACTGAAAATAGAAGTTTTTTTTAATAAATGTCATAACAGGTACAGAGTAGATATTTTGAAGTTTAAGAGACACCAGAATAACTATACTTTCATAAAATGTAAATAAAACGTTTTGTTTCTTACCCCCAAACTTCACTCCTCACTGGTATACATTTAACTATTAAATTACCAAATGGTCTGAAAATAGTTTCACTTGTCTACAGCACTTTTCTTTCTCAAGACTTGCGGAAATTTCTCAATATTTTCACAACACCCCTTTGTGGGATAAACCAAGGCATTAATGTAAAGAGCCCAAATAAAATTCACAAGGAAGCGTGCCTGAGAGAGCATGGACTAGGAGCCCAGTCATCTGAGTCTTGAGATGTTTCACTGTAGCCAAAACTGATGCTTTAACTTGCCAGGACTACCTTTCAACTGCGACACACTTTCATTTCTACTTACTTTTCTAGAATATGATCCAACACCCCAAGTTTTAACTGTTATTATTTTTCAATTTTTTGGCTTGTTTAGTGTCACTATTAGTTCCATGTCTAGACCATTCATGTGATCTAGATTTGGACATAATAATTCAATTCTCTGTACCTGGTCTACTTAAAATTATTTACTTTTCTTGGAAACAAATTATATTTTAAAGCAAAGCTCATACTTGGTTGCCAGTGAATGAATGGGCTGGTTTAGTTAGAACTACCCAGTGCTTTTAAAAATATAAATTAGTTGCCAACATTTAAATATTCAAAGCATACCACTCTGAACTTTTAAATCAAATATTTAAATTAAATCCAGATCTTCTGGTGAGAAACGGGAAGACCTGGTCAATCAACCTAGGACCACAAAAATAAACTGGGAACATGTCCAACCTATTCCCATTAATCAAGACAAATATTTTCTGGTTTTCCAGATATTTTCTGGCTTTTACTCATTTTACTTCAAGTTTCAACAAATGTCTGAACTTTCTAGTCCTATTTCCAAGGGAAAAAAAAAACCAACTTATTTTAGGTATAATATAGTACATTTTATGGGCTGAATAAGTCAGCCATAACGCAAGTATCCCAATGAGTTAGAGGAGAAAGCAGTACTAGACAGTGGTAAAGAACTTGCTCTTTGCAGCAAAACAGCTGGTTCCAGTTCTGCCACTTACAAACTTTGTGACCTTGGGCAAGTTACTTGGCTTCTCTAAGACTCGGTTTCCTCATTTGTAAAACAGAGATAGTATTGCTGAGCTCAAAGGGTAGGTTGTATTCAGCACATAACCTGATTAATAATTGCTCAGCACTGAAAGCCCTTACTAAATCCTCCAAAAAAGCACCACAACTGAAAGACTATTGTCTTCTTAAGTATACCAGAAGTAATACTCTACCAGAAAGTGCCTCGAACTGGGAGCTGGGGTCTTGAAGATTCAGTTTCAGTTCAGTTTCTGGTCTCCCACTTTGCCCTAATGTCACCTGTTCATCCTTGCTGTTCCTCTAACCCACATTAAACTCCAAGGTCACCGTGTATAATATATTTTCCTCCAACAACAGAAACAGATTGTCAACACTCCCTCATATTCCCACTTCCAAATCCACCACCTCCCAGCATCCATTCATAATTTCTGTACATTTCCTGATCCCTGAACCAAGACCCTCTCACCTTCTGTGATTTGCTTCCTTCCTCCCTTACTTTCCCTGCAACATCAATCTTTCTCTTTCGAGTTGATCACTGAATCAATTAACAACAAAATATCCCCCAGGATTGCATGTGTGTGTTTAAAAACTACGCTTCTGTGACCCTGTTTCTCTACTTCCTTGTGAAGCACACTTCCTCAGAGTGACGCCCATGTCACTATCACCTCACATGTGCTTGCTCACCAATGACGTCTATATTTTCAGCTGACTTGACCCTCAACATAGCATAACTGAAGCTTACTGTCCACTTTCTTCCTTTCTCACCAGCTATTTCTCAGTGTCCTTTCCTGGCTCCTCCGGGGCTCCATTTATTGCTTCCTTCTCAGGCTTTCTTTTCCCACAGCCTAGATACTATCCCCAGACTTGAAAATCCATGTGCTGAGAACCTTCGACTTCTATCTCTAACAATGACTTCTAGTCCTATTACATCAAGTAGTATCCAGCTGATGTTTTTATACAGGTGGACAGGTATAACAACTCTTACTTCCACAAACGCTGTCCAATCCTGAGTGGGGTACCCATCACAGAAAGCATGCTGCCTCCACATTCCTGGTTGTTGAAAAGTTATAGCTTCCTTTTTTAACTCCTTTCTCTCATCCCACATATCCATCAACATAATGGATATGTTACGGATATCCCAAACCCATTCACTTCTCTGCACTCCAAACTCCCACTGCAGACAAAGGACTATCACCATTCCCCTAGATTACTAGAAGCTTGCTAACCACTCTGTTTCTACTCCTGCTTTTCTATAATCCATTTCCCATATACAACATAATTCAGGTCTTGTCATTCCCTTGCTTAAATCTTCAATGAATCCAAACATATGCCTAGCAGCCAATCTAGTGGCATCAAAACTTTTATGGATTAAATCTGAAATATGCTGCCAGTAAACTTAGTTTTCTACCATATTCTCTTTTATATTTAAAAAAATGTAAATGAGGTCCCTCCTGTTTGTGAATATTGCAATCTCCTGTGGTAGTTATATTTAAAAAAAAAAATAAAAACCAAAAAACCTAGTAACAAAAAAAGAACAAATATAGTAAGTGAAAAAGATTTTTTCTGCTACATTCAAAAACAATTCCATTATCAGTATAAAGGCCTCTTAGAGATAACGTATTAATCATGAGTGGAGGCCTTCAAGCTTCAAAGATAAAGGCAGGGACAAAAGAAGAGACTGTAAGAATGGGGAGGAATTGTGACAAACAGGAGCTTTACTCTGGAAAAAAGAGGTGGGAGCCATTTTGAGACATTATATTTAATGCATATTTGGAAACGTCTTAGTACAACGCACAGGCCCTTTTGTCATGAAAATCAGGTTCCTAATTCTATATAGTTCACCACTGTATTGGTAGGTAAATTTTGTTTCTTTGAACCTCAAACGGAATAGCTGAACCTACAAAGAAATACTTAAACAACTTATATTAATAGAAAATTAGTTTATCTTTATTCTCACTATATGAATACCGAACAAAGCTTTCAAACATAAATCATTTTGAAGAGGTACCAAATCATTATTGCCTGTCTGGGTTGCACGGATCTCAGACCAGCCTTACAAAAGGTACGTTATATCTATTTCTACATATTTTCTATATACTTTTGTCGTGTTTTCTTAATTTTTCTACCCATTCCCCACATCCCTCAACTATGTTTTTGGAGGATGTATAGTTTTGTTGTTGTTGTTGTTTTTTAAAGATTTATTTATTTATGCATACAAAAACTGGGGTGTAGGCCAGAGGTAAGCAGTGGATGAGATAGGAGAGGTCTGTTGCGCCATGGGAGTTAGCTCCTGGCTGGGGATCAAACTCATGCCACAGTGGCTGCCAATAGCTTGAAAGTGCTGAGGCTTACCCCCTGCGCCACCAGGGAGGCCCAGGACATGTGGTTTTACAAGCCATTTCAAATTCTTTATGAAACAGGGTAGATGGTAAGTACAAATAATATCATACATGATGATGGCTGTTTAGCACACAAAAATCTACTTACATATAACACAGCTTTCTGTTACAAAATTATGTTCCATCTTCTAGTTTGAGATAACATAAATCCTTCCCTCACTCAGAACCGATACAGTGATGTCAAGGAGCTCTTGAAGGAAGGATGTTCAATGCCCTCCCAGGGCGGATCTTCTGCGGGGTTGTGAGAGGGGTGTGCGACCAAGGATCAGGGATGAAATCTATGAGGTGCCTAATGTTCTCCACTGATAAAACCGGGTAGAGCTCTGGCCTTTATAAGCTCCCTATGGTCACAACTGGTCCATTTTTGCCTTTTGTCCACCAGTAAAACCAACTTTGTACAGGTAAGAGTATTTCAAGCACAATTAGTAGGAAAAGTTTCTCTTCTTTATTTTTATCCCTAAAACAAGTGGTTGGCTTAAATAAGTACTTGGGAATTTCTAAAGGTCTTTCCTTTATGGAAAAGTTAAAAACTAAGACTAAAAAGATCCCACTCCTAGGTCTCCTTACAAACTCCACTTTCCTCCTTTGATCATAGAAAGAAAAAGAGCCCCACATATATGCTAAAGACAAGTTCTTACACAAAGTACTAGATCTGATTCATAGTAAGGATTTCCTTCCAAAGAAAACCAGGCTAAGGAAACAGAGGGAGTATATTTACAACTTACCAAATCAGTTAGCCCAGCTAAAGCAAAAACTCCTAGGGCAATATTAAAATCTTCTTCAATAATTAAATAGCCCAAAACTGGGGCCAAGCCAATTCTCGTCATTGACAACATATTTGGGATTGTCCATGGGTTTTCATACTGAAAGAGAGATAACAAATTTAAATACCATATATTCATACTTTAAATAAGTATATACATTAGGAAAATACACTGCATCAAGATATTACATAAACTTTGAAGTTAAACTTTGAACTTTGACGTTCTTAAATCCACTCCAATTTTTTAGAGACATACATCTAAAACTTTGAAGAATATTGAAGACTGTGTCATGTACCCAGATATAGGCTAAAGTGTCTGCTATATAAAGTAGGTTTTCTTCCTGGAGAGAAAAGTAACAAACATGTTACTGACCATTTAAGTCAAGCCTTTAGTCTATGACTTCAGTATTAGAATTCAAAACTTAAAACACTCAGCTTTTAAAAGTGAAACATCAGGAAGATCTTACATTTCATGTACACAGTCTAGAAAATTTCAGAAATATGAACAAATTATGTACCCCAGATATTTTGACTTAAAATATTTATTGCAAATAACTTCCTTCCCTCCTCTACACACACCTATCAAGAGAATGCTAAATGCTATATGTATAGTGTATGGAGATGCAAATAAAGAGGAAGGGGGGAAAAATTTAATTCCAGAATCTTTTCACTTCACTGCAGTACTGCTAGAAGGAAATGAAACTAGGACAGGGATTGAGAACTGAGAAAAAGAAAAATGCTGTATATCTGTTCAAGATAACCATGAAAATGTTAAGATTCCCAACTAAAAACTGAGCGTTTTCACAGTTCCTATGTGGGAGCTGTATAGTTCCTTGAAGCTTCCTTTGAAGCCAAGCTGTTTGAAGTTGGCACAAGCTAAAGGGCTCCTTGACAGCTGGAGAGACATTCCTTCCTTGCCAAATAAAATCTGTTTCATGAGAGAGTATTTCAACCTTAAAAGCCTCAGCCTAGACACCCTGTACAAAGGGGTACAGAAATAATACCAAGAAAATGTTATTCCCTAAAGCCTGGATCTTTTCTTCACTAAGACTGCCAGGTCCACCCCACGGGACTACCACCTCGCAAGATCAACCCTATTTAACCTTTTTCTTAATCAGTAACCAATTTGCCTGTATCTTAATTTTTATTTTTTAAAAAAACTGGGTTTCCATTTCTAAATACATCTTGTTCAATTCTATGAACCATCCTATTAAGGAAAAAAAAAAAAATGTAGTTCTTTAGGATAATAAGTCTGTAGAAACAGAGCCAGGCAAGAAATGTTCACCTTAGCTTGGAGTTTAAAGGTGGCATTACTGGAATCAGGTGGGGGAATACTTTCATTGAAAGCTACAGAAAAACTTCATATTCTCCAGGAAACAATTACCAAACAAGAAGCAATACAAACCTCTACTCAGGGACCTTTTAGACTGCCAATGTAGACCACATTATACAATTAAATGGAAACATTCTCGGAACATAACTCCAAATTCAAGTTCAAAGGTCAGAGCATATCAGAGTCCAGAGAAGAAAGATAAAATCTGTTGACCATACTGTGGTAAGAGAGTTAAGTTAAACAGGATTCCAAAGTTACAGTAACTCATAGGGGTAAGGAAAGAGAGCTCATGACCGAGAAAAAGGAAAAACAAAGCTAAAGGTCAGAATAAAGAGGCCCCAGCTGATTCTCCAAGATATCCACGGGGAAAAATTTAAAGACAAAGTTGCAAACAGCGAGATCATTTCTTTTGGTGAATTAATAAACAGGGCAGAATGTTGCTGGAACCGTGAAAGATCTTTTTAGCGCCACATAAAATAGTACAGTGAAAATACAGTAACTCGTTAACTTGTAATCATCCCATTTGCAAAAAGTTCTAAATCAAAATTAAGAGAGTTATTCTCAGATTACCCAACCAGATAACCTGTGGCATACTCGACCAACTACTGCCGTTCTGGGAAGGACTTCAGCCAGGATATGGCAACCTCAAAGCATCCAGCATTCAATCCTGGACATGCTTTAGCTATTAGTGGAGCTGAGACCCCTGCCAGGATGTGGCCACCTCAACCCATGCTGCACAACTGATGAAAGCAGGGGCCCACTGAAGACATAACAATTGAAGATGTAATAATTGCATGAGCCTTGCTAACATGTCATCGTGTCAGCTCACCCACACTCAGATGCACGGGTGTCTTCGGCTGAACAGCACTTCAACAGGTAAGCGGCTGTCTCCCTCCGTTACCTCAAGAGCGGTGTCTTTTTCTATAGAGGAAGGCCCTTTACTTGACGACTTAAATTACCCTTCATCTTACAATATGTAACCTGCATAACTAACAAACTGAAAGGTCTGCACAGCTTCCTTAAGATTCTCACCGACTTGCCGGAAACTTTGGGGCTTCGCTTTAGAAAATTCAAAATACACTTTTCACAAGACAAGCGAATGCAATATATTTTTTACCAATGCAATATACACAGGCCAGCGACCGGTGCCGAAAAGGCGACGGGAGAAAAGGGGGTTCTAACTTGACCCCCGAGGCAAGGTGGACGGGCTGGGAGCCCCGAAATCCAGCCCGACCACAGGACGCGCCCGTAACTTCTCTGCAGGGAACGTGTGAAAAAGTTCTGAAACGCAAGAGTTCGACCCGGGCCGGCCAGGACCACGTAACCCGCGTGCCGGGCCGGGCTGCCCCTCCGCCTCCCCGCCCCCCGGTACGTACCAGGCTGGGGGTGCTCGTCGGGCCCCAGCGGGCGCCCCGGGCCTCGGCAGCGCCGCTCGCCCCAGCCACGGGCTCGGAGGCCGCCTTCCCCGCGCCCGAGCAGTGGCCCCGCGGGCCGGCCCCGGGCAGCCGCAGGCCGAGCGCGACGGGGCGCAGCCACCAGCGCCCCGCCGCGCAGCCCAGGCCGCCGGGCGCGAGGGGCAGCGGGGGCCCACGGGCGCGCCCCTTGCTCGGCCGCGCCCCCCGCACCCAGCTGGAGGCGCGCAGGGCCCCCCACGAGCCGCGCGCCACACGCGAAGCCAGCATGGCCCGGCGGCCGCGCCGCGGGGACGCGGGGCGAGAGCTCAGCAGCCGGGGGCACCGGCGAGCCGCTGCGCCATCGAGCGCCCGCAGCCGCGGGGGACCTCGGCCGCGTCCATACTAGTTTCCAAGCCCGGCACGCCGGGTTTATACAGGTGGCCCGGGGCCGCCAAGGACGCCTTTGCGACACTTTCACGACACCTCGCCGCGGCCCTTCCCAGCGCCCCCAGCGGCCGCCGCGGGCGCGAGCGGGGAGGGGTGGGAGGGGAGCTGGGGGGGAGCGGGTTCCCCACGGCGGCCGCGGCGGGGCGCTCGCGTCCCTGCCCGCAGGGCCGAGTAGGGGCTTGGGGAAGGGGGGAGCGGGCCTGCTGGCCGGTGAGTGGCCTGCGCACGTGATGGACGTGAGCCGGGGCGGGAAGAGGGCAGCTCAGTCCAGGCCCGACACCCTCCCAGAGTGGCCTGCAAAGGGGCCTCTCCGCGGGCGTGCGGGGGGGGGGGGGGAGGCGGGCTGAGACATTGCTGGTGTCTGGTGCCGAAGTAATTGAAATACTGTCCTTTCCTTCATTTGAGCATTGCATTTGCCAAAATGTGGGTATTAGAAATGCTAATAGCAATTACTGTTCACCCAAAGTGTGTTTACTGTAGCCAGTGAGACAGGGCAAGCTAGGGTTATTAGGCAGTTTTAGGGACAGTGCAGGAGGGGACCTCTGAAGAATTTAGGGAGGCTTCAGAGATAAGGACAACCAAGAAAATGTAACCAATTCCACTGGGAAAAACAAACATCTTAGGACCACAGACAATCTTGTTAAGGATGGTCCTGGTTTTCTTCAGGTGATAAAGATAAGGTATGGAGATGCTCTCCTGGAAGACTAGGCCATAAAGATAAAGATGCAACAAATGGGGAAAAGACAGACCTGTTAGATAAGGAATGTGAAGATCCCCCACTCAGTAGCAAATTAAGTGAGACAGCCAAAAACTGACCAATCACAAAGAGACTGGTAGAGCTTTAGAATAATCAGGGAAAGAAAGTATATATTCCCTGAGACACGACTCCACTTTGGCTTCCTTGCCCCTCCCAGGCCTGGTTCCCTGGCCTGGGAGTCCCACTTTATTTCTGCTCTTTTTCTCCTCAATAAACTTTTTCTTTCTCTAAACAAACTGCCTCTTCTCGCTTGCTTGCCTGAGCGTCTGCGAAGTTCCTGCTGCGGCTTCGTGAGACACCAACCCGTGGGGGTCTAGTGGCTGGGGCTCAGCGCTGCCCTGCAGCCTGGAATCCGTTCCTGGCTGGGAGACTAGGCCTGACAATTCCGGTATCACCAGGCTATAAGTCATTACGTTAGGGGGGAAAGGATGTCCTAAAGCTAATTCCATACAGGCTTTGTGGACTCCACCCCCACCCCAGGCCAAAGCCAAAGACACTGGGAACTCCAAATCCCATCACCACCAAAGGGAAGGTGGCTGGGACCTGAGGGTGGGGTTAAGCAGCCAGGTTGGTATAAAGACAGACACGTGGGCTTTGGAGGGGGCCCCCCATTTTGGCTCTCCACCAGCTAGTAGTGTCCGGCCAGCTCTGAGAGTGCCTTTGGGTTTCCAGGTCGGCGGATCGGGTAGGACGCATTAAAGACTTTATTTCCCTATTTTCTCCCTGAGTTGTACATTTTCCTTATTTCCTTTTCTCTTGTAAATAAACCTTTTATTAACCTTTTGTGTGTGCCTATAGTGGAGTATTGATAAGTCCCTTTTAAGCGCGCAGGTGAGGACCCACAGCAGGCAACCCGTTCAATATCGGGGCTGCCCTATAACAGCTATACCGTTTAATCCTCTCATCAGTTTGGTTTTTTTTTAAAGATTTATTCATTTATGCATACAAAAGCTGGGGTACAATGCCAGAGATGCAGGGGGTGAGAGGATTCACCAGAGTGGGGAGCAGAGCAGGCAGACTGAAGTACGCTGCTGAGGGGAGCAGCGGGCAAGTCAGGAGAGGTCTGCCGTGCCATGTGGGTTGCTCCCTGGCCAGCTGGGGCTCCAACTTGTGCTGCAGGGCCTGAGGATTGCTTCATATTGCGGTGCTTAACCCCTTGCGCCACCAGAGAAGAGGCCCCATCCTCCCATCAGTTTAGACAGGCTCCATTATTACTTTACTTACGAGAAAATGAAAAACGTAGAGGAATACCCAAAATAAGAATTATTTCATCAGCTGGTTAGTGTACCAGTTTTTATACTGTAATTATACTATATTCATTATATATACTATAGTAATTATATGTAGTAATTTTATACATTATTCTATTGACATAGTTATAGTATTACATTCACTAATAATGCGGTGTTACAAAACTTCACTGAATTGTGTCAATTTGAATTTGAATGATTCCAGGTGCCTCACCACTTCCCCCAGGCTTGTCTGTGATGATAGACCCACCTTAAAGCTGATTTTAAACTTTTAATTGCAGTGTTTAAAAAAGGGAAATATATATTTGAACATCATTATAATATCAAAAAAGATATTTGATTTCTTATGCACCTATGGAAATACTGATATTGAAAGAAAAATTAACTTAATTGTACTAGCAGTATAAAAAGGAAAATTTTTTAAAAAATCATGTTGTAATCAAACACAATTAGACACATGGAAAACATCAAAAGGGGTTGAGCTAATGTAGTCCAGTCTCTCCTATCCTTTATAGTCCTGAATTACCTGTATCCATTCTTTCCATTCTTCCTAATTCAAGACAATTTCTCCACCGGTGTTTCAGATGACTCTGATCTGATCCAGAGGCAATACGCATACCTGCTGAGTGAGTGCTTCCCATGGTCAGGCTCCACACACTGCTTGCTACCATCACAGGGTGCCCACATCAAGGGCTGCGACTCACTGCCACTCAGCTCTGTCCTCCATCAGGTCTTAGAAGTATGATCACTCCAGCAGGCTTAGAAGACTTAGAATAAATACATTTGAATTCCAAGATCACAGCTTTGCACCAAACTCTGATTCTTCCTGCCATGTGCAAATAAATTCAACACTAATGCAAACTTTTTCCTTTGCAAATTCTAGAGACCTTGACATCATTTTGAGGCTGGAGGAAACATCATGAGGTCACGGGCCAGCATCAGAACGTATGACTTTCATCACCAGAGAAATGGTGACAACGGTGGGCTAATTGTTGGAGTTGTCAGGTGCAGATGAGGAGCCAAACTCAGCCTTCTAAGCCAGAAGGGAAGAGTCCTGTGCAGTCCCATGGTCTCCATTCCACCTGTGATGTCCAAGCCCCTTAAGAGGGCTATTGGGAAAGGGGTGGCATTGAGCAGCCATTTGGGGGGCATTTAAAAGGAAAAAAAGGAAAGTGGGTTTGTTCTGGTCATGGGAGCTGCTGTGGAAGGCAGATGCCCTCCTATGACACAGGCAGCAGGCCTTCAGGCCCCCAAAGTTGGGGATGGCCTCAGCAGCAGCAGCAGCAGCAGCAGGCGGCTCTGAGACTCCCTACTGGCTCCTGTAGCTATAGCTCCACCTGGCACCATGAGTCAGAGCCTTTTTCTCCCTCTGCTTTGTTAGTTCTCTCTCACCCCTGTTAACCAGAATAAATTATTTTAAAAAAAAGAGAATTTCTCATTGCCTCTTGAGATTTTTCTTTGCTACAGAAAGTATGCACTACATCTGTCTCTAACAATTGGCAGTAAGTACATTACCTTACTTGCTTTGCATGTTTTCTCTATTGTTCTGGTAGGTTTTACATATATTCCTTATGGTATCTGCCTAATCTTTCCTTAAATTTTTCTAAATTTAGTACACAATATACAATATGTAATTATTTCTTCGGCCTTTGTACTATCAAGGTATAGTCATCTAGTTTTATTCAGGACCATCAAGAATAACACCTTTGCCTGAGCTCTTCACTTGCCTTCTTGCCTGGAGATAGTCTTACCTATTTATCACATTTTTCACATCATTAAAATTTATCACATCATTAAACTGTGAAATATTATTCATGATTTTCTGATTAAGATAAAATTTTAATTGTGTGTTTTGGGTTATATTGCAATATATGGAATCACATTATAGTGAGTTGTCATTTTAAAAAATAGAACATTCCCCAAATTGTAGCAGATTTCGTTGTGTTATTTTCCTTTCAAAATTAGAGGGAAAAAAGCCATGATATAATGAAATCCACACTTAAAATATAGGAAATGGGGGAGATGGTTAAATGATACAAACTTCCAGTGTTAGATAAATTAAGTCCTAGGGGTCTAGTAAACAGCATGGTGATATTATAGCACGTACTTCAAAGCTGCCTAAACAGTAGATCTTAAATGTTCTTACACACACACAAAAAAGGTACTTATATGAGGTGATGGAGGTGTTAACAACCTTAGTGTGGTAGTCATTTCCCAATATATAGTCTTATCAAATAATAGTAAACAATGTTATATGTCATTTATAGGTCCATAAAGCTGGAAAAATACAGTAAACTGCATATATATCTATTTATATACAGATATATTGGGTATTTTTGGTTTTATTGCCATATATGTATATGTATACACACACACATATATCTATTTTTGAAATATATACTTTTTTTTTGAAAGCCAACTTTACTATGTAGTGCTGATAGTACTATTCGGTCTTCATAAAGTAGAACAGTAAACAGTCTGGCATTTTGGCCTAAAGGATAATGACAGCTCAAAGGTTACACTAAATAGTAACAGAGCTTCCAACAAACCATTTCCTAACATTTTAAGGAGAACACCCAGCTATCAGTCTTTGACCTCATTTTGGAGACCGTGACAGATTAATCTGGGGTGAAGGACGAAGAAAATGTGAAAACTCAATAAAACAATTCCAGATATAATATACTTGGATACATAAAGTAATAAAGAAACAAAAGAACATGAAAAGGATTGTAAATAATTAACCTTGAATAACCAGTTGACTAAGTTCCTAAGTTAGTGCTTTGAAAGTACAGTGCTAATAACAATAGCTATTAATATCTACTGTGGGCATTACAGTCTGTCTGGCCCCTTTGCCTTCAGTGATCCTTTGCTGAGGAAGTTATTACAATTCTGCTTTCAGAGGGTAGTATTGTCTTGCCACTTTTATGCTTTCCTTGGTAAGCTGCAAAGAGCTGAAAGTCTCTTGCTGTGCTGATTATCAATACATCTTACCTCTTCACAAAAAACTCGGAGCCCACTTTCAGACTTTTGAAAATTGTGTAACCCAAATCATTCTTTCTCACCACTTCTATTTGAAGCATAAGGTTTGTGTTTTTCTTTTTTGGAAGAAAATTCTATCCCAAATCTATAATAAATATTATGTCTTGATAAATTGCAAATGGATCTTATATAAAGATTAATGATTGGAAGTTAAAGCAAACCAGAAAAATGAAATTATTTCTCTGGAAATTAAGGTGAGTTAAATCTTGTAGGAGTGAGCTACAATTACTGACATTAAACCCAACTAGTAACCTAAATAAGGCACATTTTTAAGATAAACTCATGCCATTCGCAGCAACGTGGATGGAGCTAGAAGGAATTATGCTCAGTGAAATAAGCCAGAAGGAATAAGAAAAATACCGGATGGTATCACTTATAACAGGAAGAGAGGGGAACCAAATAAGACATCAGTGTAAAAAAATAATAACAGTACAAAACACAACAAAGCAAAAACTGACAATTATAAACCAGAGACACACTGCAGGGAAGAAGGAGGGAGAGGGGTGAGAGGGAGGGAGGGAGGAGCACAGGGGACTGTGGCGATGGTGCACGGGTGCCTTGGGGAAGGAGATTCTATGGGGACTCAATCTGAGGGGGTGGGGTGAAGCAAATATTGTCTAAAAAATGTAAAAAATGATAAATGTTAAAATTAAAAAATGTAAAAAAAATAAGGCACGTTTTTAAACCATCATGATAAACACACCACCCAACACCCAATAACAAGGAATAAAGTGATTGGATTTAGTCAAAACACACGTACGCTGGAAGTATGGTCACTGCAGCAGGCTTAGAAGACTTAGAATACATTTGAATTACAAGTACTGATAGGGCCAAATTCCTTAGGACTTGCAAAGATTAACTCCATCTAAACTCTACAGTTTAGATTACTCAAGTTATTATGAGATCTAAACTAATTCTTTTGTCAACTTCTGGTGCTGACATTTCATCCTCCCTAAGAGAGTATTGGTTTTACTAGAGTATGTGAATAAGTACATCTTTAGTTAAGAATTTTTATATGGCTTGTTATTGTAGGAACTGTTGGGGGAAAGGCTGCCCTGAATAAACACAAACAGGGTTGTCCTGTAACAGAGCCTTTGAAGGAAATAAAAATACTCACAAAGGTGAACATTATCTACATACAGGGCTCATTTAATATTTTGATCTCCTCTTCCTTTAGTAATACATATTTCTAAAAGCAATGGATTTTGTCATTATTTACATATGATTTGCTTTATTTGCCTCCTTCCTCTCAAAACTTCAGTCTTATTTTCCTTTTCCTTCTAGAGAACCCTGTTTTAATGTTATTATCTTAACTGTCCAATCCATTTCAGAAGTCACTAAATTTTAGAGGATGTAAACACCTTCTTCGCATCCCTCTTATATTAACTATAAGAAAAGCAAAAGGTTGAACAAGAAAGAAAATGAATGTTTAATACTTACAAGGTTCTAAACAGATTTAACTAAAATGATGACATCTAACTATACTGGAGAGAAATGGGTAAGTGTGTATGTATGTAGAAAGTTTGAGAACAACATTCTTACCTTCTATATAATTAATTTTTAAAACTGAAAACTCTAGAATTAGCAATACTAGTCTGTCCTTGAGATAAAATGCCAGTAAATGGGAAAACAGTTGAAATCAAACCAGAAAATTACGGAATATGGAAGAGTGGGAGAGAGGTTGGTTTTAATATAAACCTTGCTCAATTATTTATTTAAAATGGGTATATTAATAATAATATAGAATAACATAGTAATAATATAGAATAATATAGTAATAATATAGAATAATATAGTAATAAAGAATAACATCTGTAAAAAAATTTTTAGTCAATTAGATATTAAACAAAATATGTCAATATAAAGTACTTCCAAAGTTTTTGAAATTGAAAGTTAGTTTCAATTTATTTCTGAATGCTTTCCCAGATGATTTTTCATATACAAAACTATAAAAAAAGAATAAAGGAGGTCAAACACAAAACTATAAATAATTTTAAATTAGATCACTTAGATAAAATAAAGTAACAATTTAATTTTAGCTTTTTGGAGAAATTGCAAAAAAATATATGACTCACTTTTTAAATTAGTTCAACGTTCTTATATCACTTTTGGGATGTTATTTTTCAGACTTTTTTAAACTTTGCAAAATCTTTATTACCGAGATGACTTTAAACTGTTAATAAAGCCAGGAGGTCCTGGGTTGGTAGTCTTTTTACATAGTTTGAAGCTGGTAAACCTTTGGGCCTTTTTTCAAGAGGTAACCTTGGTCATTTAGTGATCCAATAAAATTTTCAAAATCAGCAACCTGGAAGAAAATATTACAAGTGTTAACCTATTAAGTAATAGGCAATGATATTATTTTTTAAATTATTCTCTCAAATAGTAATGCATAACCTCAAGTTTCTTGGGCAAACAAAATTATTTGTAATTCTAGAAAATACTGCCTATAGATTCTAGAGCTTTGAATTCCATAATGCTGAGTTAATAATAAATGGAAACTGATATACAAAGAATCTTATGTTTGTTTTAGCTTAGCTGCAAAACAAAAATTTGACAAGCTCTTGAAATTAAGTGGGCAGTTTTTCTTTTTGTTTTTTCTTTTTTTAAAGATTTATTTATTTATTTATTTATACAAGCACTGGGTACAGTCAGAAGCGCAGGAGGGTGAGAGAATTCACCAAAGCCAGAGCAGGGAACAGAACAGAGAGACTGACGAAATACACTGCTGAGGGTAGCAGCGGGCGCAGCAGGAGAGGTCTGTTGCGCCACGTGGGACCCTCGCCTGCAGCTGGGGATGGAACCTCCGCTGCAGAGGCTGCGGGCAGCTTTGCAGCCCAGTGCTCAACCTCTGTGCCACCAGGGGAGGCCCTCAGTAGACAATTTTTCATATAAACTGTTTTTACTTGTTTAAAATGCTATTATATCCAGTTTCACTAAACCTGTTAAGTAAAGCAGGTAGAATTGTGTACATTTAACAAATGACACTGAGGTTCAAAGACATTAAGATATCTTTTCCACAAGGGATTATCAGAAAAACATGGAAATTGACTTGCTATAATGTTTTCTTCTAACTATTAAGATGCTAAAAAATCTTTTGAAAAGAGGTAGCTATGAATTTTTTAATAAAAACTGTTTAAGGTCTGGGCAGTTAATCTCATAGCTTAAATAAAGCAAGCTTGTGGGCCTCCCCTGGTGGTGCAGAAGTTGAGCACTGGGCTGCAAAGCTGCCCGCAGCCTCTGCAACGCTGGTTCCATCCCCGGCCGCCGGCGAGGGTTCCACATGGTGCAACAGACCTCTACTGCTGCGCCCGCTGCTCCCCTCAGCAGTGTATTTCGTCGGTCTGTCTGTTCTGTTCCCCGCTCTGGTGAATTCTCTCACCCTCCCGCGCTTCTGACTGTACCCAGTGTTTGTATAAATAAATAAATAAACAAATGAATAAGTAAATAAACAAGCTTGTGTTTTTAAATATTTTAATTACAACTTTTCAATTTTTTTAATTCAAATATTTCAATATTTCATATTTTGTACATTAATAAAGACCTCCTGAAAGTATTTTAAAAAAGATTAAATATTTGGCATATCATACCTGAATGTTTAGCTCTTTGGCAATCTGCCGAAGTTGATGAAGTTGAAATAAATTATTGTAAGTTCTTTCGGCGATGTTGTTGAGAGCAGAAATAAATCTTTTTGCTGTTGACCTGTTGCTCATTCCAGAACCATGTTGGGATCGCTCAAAATTTAGGTTTCCAAACTCATCAGAATAAGTTCCTAGCATGCTTAATAGGAGGGTAAGAAAAAACAGTTAACCAATGTGGTGTGGCTATAAAAGTTTTTCCGGGTCTCTGGGTCATGGCTATAAACACAGCCATGAGGCTCACATAGCAAAGATTTACACCTGTGATTACTGAGTAACTGTTATAAAATTCATGATGACATAGACTATTCTGGACAGTTACTCCTTTTAAGAAACTTGTGATTTTAAAAAGAAAAATGCATAAAAGTACAAACTCGACAGTCTACAATAAAAACAACTGGAACATTATTTTTGATTCATGAAAAAATGAAATTCTAAATATACTGAATTTAGGCTTTACTGGATAAAAATGTGTTCTCAACTCCTAGTGCAGCATCTGGCAAATAAAAGGTATTTAAATATACTCTAGCAAAGAATTAGAAAGATTCTATTGACTTGCAGTAATGATGGTTAGATATTAAAGGATACAACTTATTATCTCTAGTACTCTTCTACTGCTTCTTATTTCATAATATCATCAAGGAAAAACATATGCATTTGACAGTGAACCTTAGCCACAGTGTGAAAATACCAGTTAGAGATAAATTAGTCATCCTCTCTGATCCAGCTCAACTGTCAACTCCCTGCCTGATTCTCTGCCTGTATAATGGACATTTATAATCTCACTGCCTGGCTCACAGGCAAAGACGTTATTTAGTCAGGAATTAATTACCCAAATATAAATTGGTCACCTCCTAAGCATTAGGCTTATAGTATTGAATAAAACAGGTACAACTCCTGTCCTTAAGGAGCTCACTCCAATGGCTCTGCAGAGCAAAAATAACTATCAGTAAAACAAAAAGACACCCTACCAAATGGGAGAAAATATTTGCACATCATACATCTGGCAAAGGACTGATATTCAAGACATATAAAGAACTTACAAATGACTAACAGGTACATGAAATGGAATGATCTCTAAAATTTAAGTGCAATAAGCAAGATACAGAATATGTATGGTACGGGGAAAGGAATATACAGACAGAGTTATTATGTGTATTTTATCTAATGGTCACATACAAAAAATTGATATTTGTTCCGAGGGAAAACCAGGTAGCTGGTAAACAGAGTAGAAGGAAACTTTTTCTACCATACATATTTTGAACTTTGGAATTTTGAAGCATATGAATGTGTGAACCTATTCAAAAAATTTTTTTAAGAAATTTAAGAAAATTTTTTTAGGTACTGGAAAAAAAAAGTACCTAATACAATCAGTTTTTGTTTTTATTAATTAAAAAAATTATGTCTAAGGTAGACATATCATCTGTTAAAATATAAAATCCCCCTATATACACCCTTAGGAATCATCTACCAAATGATATAAAATGAGGACACAATTTAACAATGTATTTATTTACACTTGGACTGGTAGATATTACTTCTGAGAATTTATTGATTTATTTTTGTGTGTAGAAGAACTTGGGTGTAGGCCAGAGGTGGGGGGGGCGGCGGGGAGAGGATGCACCAGAGACAGAGTAGGGAGCAGAACAGGAGGATTTACTGAAATACACTGCTAAGGGGAGCTGTGGATAAGACAGGAGGGGACTGCTGTGCCATATTGGGTTAGCTCCCTGGCCGGGAATCATCTTAGGCCAGGGTGGTGACAGCACTGAGAATTAACCAGGGAGGCCCTACTTCTTCTGAGAATTTCTCATACAAGTATATACTTAACCACATATGAAGTATCTTAACAGAGATTACTTATTATAGCTTTGTAACAGCAAAAGAATGGAAAACAATCATGTATCTAATGAATGGGACTGGTTAAATAAACTATGGTACAACTGAATAACAATACTAGCAGCTGTTAAAAAAAGGAAGTCTATGTTCTAATAAGGAAAGATCTCTGGGCATACTGACAAATTTTAAAAAACAAAAGAAAGTACAGAATAGTATAATCCATATGCTGTTTACAAGAAAATAATGGGGGGGGGGCCTTCCTGGTAGCGCATGGGGCTAAGTCTTAGCAATATCAAGCTACTGCCAGCCACTCTGGCATGAGTTCGATCCCTGACCAGGTTGCTAACCCTCATGGCTCAGCAGACCTCTTCTATCTCATCCACTGCTCCCCTCAGCAGTGCAATTCAGTAGATCTGCCTGTTCTGCTCCCCACTCTGTCTCTGGTGAATCCTCTCATGCCCTTCCCCACCCACCTCTGGTCTACACCCTAGTTCTTGTATACATACATAAATAAAAATAAAATCTTTAAAAAAAAAAAAAAAGTAATGGGTGTTCTAGTGGAGAGGACGAATGGTAAATAGGATGGGAGAAAATCTTCTTAAAAGTATGAATTTTTTAAATGATTCTAGAACTATATGAATATATTAACTATTCAATATTTTAAAATAAGAAAATAGTTTGCCCAGAGGAAATTAAATTAAAAAAAATAATTTTGCTTGGCCTAACTAAATTTATATTTAGATGGGAAGATGACTGGTATTTCATTTAAAAAAGCATTAAAATTTAATCTTACCTGTATTTCATAATTTCAACTATATCCTCAGCATCTTCTTTGGTTGCTTCCTCTCTCAAGTCCAACCTTGCTCGTGCCTTTGAAAGAAAACAACCACTTTCAGATAATAAAAGAAAAATAGATTTAATATTGTTGAACAGGCATATTGCATCAAGCTTATTTCACTTATTCATTTTACATAAAAACTGACTTTTATTTGAAAACCTGAGTATAACAGTATCACTAATATATGGAGTAAAACCCACTTTTACTTACTAACATATCTTTTCTGAGTGTGCATGCATTTTGGAAGATTTGGTTATAATATACACTCAGTTTTTTTCCTTGCCTTTTACTTTCAGGAAATCATGCCTAACCAATTTGTAAAAACAACAAAGAGGTGTTAATCAGATTTTAGAAGCAAAAAGCCCAAGCTCTGACCTAGCTATTTTAACTAGTTTATGTACTTTTGTTCTCCAATAAGCTATACACTGAATTCTAACATTCAAATAGAATTCTCTTAACATTCCATATCTCTGAATAGATGATAGATGTAACAGCTGTCACAACAGGCACTATCCTTACACACCTGTTATAAATCAAACTCAAGATATTTGATACAATCCATGTTTCCATATATGAAACTTTGAATCTCCTTAATTTAACCTAACCAAACCACACTTCATACTCTAGTCTTCTCGGTGTCATTTAAAAAAAAAAAAAAAAGAGTTGCAAAGGAAGCATCCAGTCCTGTGTTTAGAATGATATTGCTATATTCTGATACGTTAAAGGCATGACCAAACCTTTAAAAATACTTTCGTCCATCCAATTCTAATGTCTCTCAGTACAAAGAAAATTCAAATCAATAATGCAGAAGTTGAAATCATATTACTTCCATCCTCTTTTTTTTTTTTTTTGTGGGACCCTCGCCGGTGGCCGGGGATCAAACAGGCGCTGCAGAGGCTGCAGGCAGCCTCGCAACCCAGCGCTCAACCGCTGCACCACCATGTTAAGTAAACATACCTCTGTTAGCCGAATCAGGGATTCCAGCTGCCTAGTGGTGATAGGTGCACTATTTAACCTCTGGCTCTGTTTCCGCAGCTCAAGGTAAAAATCTTGAAGAATCTGAGCAGCTTCTGTGGAGAGCTTTGGATAGACATACTGCCGAGCATAACCAATGTACTTTCTCAATAGCTGGTGGGGAATTGGGTCTACTGTTTCTCGAGGACCCACCTAATGCATGATAAAAAGGCCCATCATTATTACAAGGATAAGTAGCAAATAAACTGCTAAAATAACTTGTTTAGATATAAAATCTAGAAAACTATCCAAATAAGCTAGCACTAAAGTCCTATCTCTTGATCTAGTTGACTTAAATTATTTCAAATGAAATTTCCATAAACCGTACTATTGATACTATAAAAGGATTTGGATTTATATACTGTTGTTCTATACACTGAATAAGCTATACACTGAATTCTAACATTCATATAGAAGTGAAATGAATGATTGAAGAGAAAAAAAAATTTGTACCTTTAGTCTTTCTGACAATGGTTTATCAGAAACCACTTCAAGTACAGACCTATTTGAATCTTGACTGTTCATACGAGTTACGGTGGCACTGCTAACAGTTCTCTGCTTCCCAGCTCTTATTGCAATCACATGTTCAGAGAGCAAGTGATCATGATCCTCATTTGGGGTGTCTAACAGGATAAAGACCAAATCAAATCTGGATAACAGAGCACTCCCCATTCTGAGAGGCATGAGAGAAAGAAGAAAAAATGGAATCAAAGCTTGCTGAATACCGACAAAACCATTTACTCATTTGTTTACTATCTGTGTTCCACGGAGAACTTAAAAAAGGCTTAAGGTTAAAGAAATGACCAATAACTTTTGGATTTAATGCACCAGCTCCAGACAGACACCACATCACATGTCCTTTCATAGGTACACAGTTTGGGAACATGGCCTTTCTCATATCACCAAAACCACTGAATTCTCCTTTATGTTCTGTATCTCTGCTATAACTTAGGATCACTGAATTTTTAAGCTAGAATAATACACAATATATCAGAGGTTATCTAGTCGAGTCATTCTTATCTTCACTACCATGGAAGGGAAGTGATATACAATGTCATAAACATTATCTTGTGCACTTGTGTGACTTTCTGAGTATGACTCCCATAAGTAGAACTGGCTGGACCAAACAAAACATTAAAGTAGTGATAGGGAAGATTCAATATATTAAAAATATAAATATTTGAAGAGACTTACTTTAAATTCTCAGAAACTGTTTTGGCTTTATTGTAATGTCCTCCAATTGGATTTGCAGCTGCAATAATGGAAGTTCTTGCAGGAAGGCTACACACCACACCAGCCTTAGCAAGACTAATACTTTGCTGCTCCATAGCTTCTAACAAGGCTTGATGTTGATTCCCCATCTTATCAAATTCATCTATTCCACAAATACCTATAATTACAGTAAAAAAACAGACAAAAATTTTTCCTTTATCAAGTTCCAAACCTTACATGATAGAAATTATTCTACAATAAAAATTTACTTCTATGTTTCCAGCAGTTAAAATTACTGAATGTCATACACTAGAGAATTTCTTCTTGTTTTACAGCAAATAAAACACATTTAACATTTGAGATTTACTCATTCAGCACTTTCCATAGGAAGGCACTATGTTGTGAAGGCTACAAAGATGAAGATATGAGAGCCACCCTCAAAACACTTAAAGACTTAAGTTCATAAGTGAGTTAAGATAGACACATATTCAGGCCTCCCCTAGTGGCACAGCAGTTGAGCACTGGGCTGCGAAGCTGCCCGCTGCCTCTGCAGCGCCGGTTCGATCCCCGGCTGCAGACGAGGGTCCCACATGGCGCGCAACAGACCTCTCTTGTCTCGCCCGCTGCTCTCCTCAGCAGTGTATTTCGTCAGTCTGCCTGTTCTATTCCCCCGGTCTGGCTCTGGTGAATACTCTCACCTTCCCGCGCTTCTGACTGTACCCAGTGCTTGTATAAATAAATAAATAAATAAATAAATCTTTAAAAAAAAAAGTGCCTGATGTTCAGAGGAGAAATATAAATTTGGGATTTCAGCCACCACACCCCGTGAACGGGAGCTGAGGCGAACCCTGCAGGATCCGCCGCGGCGGTGAGCGAACGGCTCCGGGCGCCATTAGAGAAGAACAAAGACCCCGGGAGACGCGCACCCAGCCCGGGCTGCCGGACATTTCTTAAAACTGCTTGAAAAGGGCAGAAGGTTTCTGGAGGACCCAGTGGCCAGCCGAGAAGTTATTCCACGCCAGGCCCCTTCCGACCAGCAGTCTGAGCCCACAGAGGGAGCAGGCACCCACGTCCGGGGCAGACCGGGTGCGCAGAAGAGTGTGCCTGAAACCGGAGGCGCAGGGACTGCATCCCGCTTCGCCATTTGAGAACAGGGACATTTCTTCAGTAAAAACTGCCTAAAACCAGCAGAAAGCTCCCCCAGAAGACAGAGATGGCTCCTGGAAGAGCCAGAGGGGAGCGGAGAAGTTCACCCAAGATGTCAGTCAGTCCGAGCAACACAGTGTCCCAACGCATACGACAAATTAGAAAACAGACAGTAGGGAGTAGAAGAACCACACGCAACCTAACAACTCCTCAGGAAAGAAGCACACCACAAAAAGAAAACCACTCCCCAGATTGCAACGACAGCAACTTGGAAGAACTTCTGAGCCTTCCAGAAAGAGAATTTAAAATTGCCATGATTAAAAAAGTGATAGATCAGAAGAAGGAAATTGAGTCCCTAAAGAGGGAAGTAAGAGAAATGCAGGAGATCAAAGAATTAATGGAGGAACTAAAGAACTCTGGGAAAAGCAATGAAAGCAGAATAGATGAAATGGAAGAACGAATAAGTAATCTTGAAGACACAGAAATAAAAAGAACCAAAACAGAAAAGGAAAGAGAAGTACGAAGGAAAAAGAATGAAGAAAGACTTCGGGAACTATCTGACTCCATGAGGAAAGGAAATATAAGAGTTATAGGAATTCCAGAAGGAGAGGAGAGAGATGTAGGAACAGAGAAAATATTCATGGATATAATTGAAGAGAACTTCCCAAATGAGAAGAAGGAGCTGAAAATTGATATACAAGAAGCAAGAAGAACACCAAACTTCCACGACGAAAGGAAAAACACAGCAAGACACATAATAGTAAAGCTCCCAAGAATCCAGGACAAGGAAAAAATAATGAAGCTGACAAGAGGGAAGAAACAGATAACATTCAAAGGAAAACCAATCAGGCTGACATCAGACTTCTCTGAAGAAACACTACGGGCAAGGAGAGAGTGGAGGGACATAGTCAACAGACTCCAAGAAACAGATGCAACCAAGAATACTCTATCCCGCAAAGCTCTCTTTCCCCATGAAGAAGAATATGGACCTTCCCAGACAAAGAGAAACTCCGGAATTTCATTGCGACTAAACCCCCACTCCAAAAAGTACTACAAGGAATCCTAAAGCCAGAACCTCAGAGGGACGAATAACAACGAAAGAAGACCAAAAAAAAAAAAAAAAAAAAGTTATTAAAAGAATAATATAATAAATCAAGGAAAGACAAACATAATGGCAAATACAGATGCTAACATATCAATATTAACTCTAAATGTAAATGGACTAAACTCTTCAATAAAAAGACACAGAGTTGCAGCCTGGATTAAGAAACAAAACCCAACCTTTTGCTGTCTCCAGGAAACACATTTAGCTACAAAAGATAAAAATAGGCTCAAAGTCAAAGGATGGAAAACATCCTACAAGCAAATGGGCCAAAAAAGAGCAGGAACAGCTATACTTATATCAGATAAAACAGACTTCAAACTCAAAAAAATAAAAAGAGACCCAATGGTCACTACATTATGATTAAGGGGACAATACTTCAAGAAGAAATAACACTCATTAACATATACTCACCAAACGAAAGAGCACCAAAATATATCAGACAACTGTTGTCCTCTCTGAAAACAGACATCAGAGAAAACACATATGTAGTGGGAGACTTCAACACACCACTATCAACAATGGATAGATCAACAAGACAAAAAATAAGTAAAGAAACTAAAGCTCTAAATAAGGACCTAGAGCATTTGGGCTTAACAGACATCTATAGAACACTAAACCCAAAAAAAACGGAGTACACATTTTTCTCAAGCGCACACGGATCATTCTCCAGGATCGATCACATACTGGGGCACAAGACAAACATCAACAGATACACCAAGATTGAAATCATACCAACCATCTTTTCTGACCACGAAGGCATCAAACTAGAAATAAATCATAAAAAGAAGGCAAGGAACTATCCTACCTCATGGAGATTAAAAGCCACACTACTGGAAGACCACTGGACTAACGAGGAGATCAAAGAAGAAATTAAAAAATTCTTTGAATTGAATGACAAGGAGGACACCAATATCCTAAATGTATGGGATGCAGCAAAAGCAGTAATAAGAGGAAAATATATAGCAATAGAAGCTCACATCAAAAAACAAGAAAGAACTCAAAAAAACAACCTAATCTCGAAGCTCAAAGATCTAGAAAAAGAACAACAAAAAAACCCCAGAACCAGTAGAAGAAAAGAAATAATAAAAACCAAAGCAGAAATAAATGAAATTGAAACTAAAAAAACAATCCAAAAGATCAATGAACCAAGAGCTGGTTCTTTGAAAAAATAAATAAAATAGACAAACCCCTAGCCAGGCTCACAAAGGAAAAAAGGGAGAAAGCACAAATACACAGAATAATAAATGAAAGAGGAGAAATCACAACGGACACAGCAGAAATCAAAAGAATAATCAGCAACTACTATGAACAGTTATATGGAAACAAGTTCAACAATCTAGAGGAGATGGACAAATTCCTACAACTCTACAATCACCCAAAGCTAGATAAAGAAGAAATAGAACACCTAAACAGACCAATTACAAGCAGCGAAATTGAAATGGTAATTAAAAACCTCCCCAAAAACAAAAGCCCAGGACCTGATGGATTTACAAATGAATTCTACCAAACATTCAGAGACGAATTAGTGCCTATCCTTCACAAACTCTTCCAAAAAATGAGAAGGAAGGGACAATACCAAACACGTTCTATGAAGCCAATATTACACTAATACCAAAACCGAATAAGGACAACACAAAAAAGGAAAACTATAGGCCAATCTCCCTAATGAACACTGATGCAAAAATCCTCAATAAAATTTTAGCTATCAGAATCCAACAATGTATCCATAAGATAATTCACCACGACCAAGTTGGATTCATTCCAGGGGCACAAGGATGGTTTAACATCCGAAAATCAATCAACGTTATCCAACACATCAACAAAAAGAAATATAAAAACCATATGATAATATCAATAGATGCTGAGAAAGCTTTCGACAAAGTGCAACACCCATTCATGATAAAAGCCCTTGAAATTCTTGGGATACAAGGAACATACCTCAACATCATAAAGGCCATCTATGAGAAGCCAACAGCCAGTATCATTCTCAATGGTGAAAAGCTGAAAGCAATTCCATTAAGATCTGGAACAAGACAAGGATGTCCACTCTCACCACTGCTTTTCAATATAATACTGGAAGTCCTAGCCAGAGCAATAAGACAAGAGAAAGACATCCAAGGAATCCAAATAGGAAAAGAAGAAGTCAAACTATCACTATTTGCAGATGATATGATAATATACATAGAGAACCCCAAAATCTCCACAGAAAAACTAATTCAACTCATCAATCAATTCAGTAAAGTGGCAGGATACAAAATCAACACGCAAAAGTCAGTAGCCTTCCTATACACAAACAATAAATCTGAAGAAGAAGAAATCAAAAAAACCACCCCTTTTATTATCGAAACAAAAAAAATCAAATATTTGGGAATAAATCTAACAAAAGAGGTAAAGGACCTATACAAAGAAAACTATAAAACACTGTTAAAAGAAATAGAAGAAGACACAAATAAATGGAAAGACATCCCCTGCTCATGGATTGGAAGAATAAACATTATTAAAATGGCCATCCTTCCAAAAGCAATATACAGATTCAATGCTATTCCAATCAAAATCTCAATGGCATTCTTCAAAGAAATAGAACAATTATTGATGAAATTCATATGGAATCACCAAAAACCCCGAATAGCCAAAGCTCTACTGAAAAAAAAAGAAGGAAATGGAGGCATCACACTCCCAGACTTCAAACTATACTACAAAGCCATAATCATCAAAACTGCATGGTATTGGAACAAGAACAGACATACAGACCAATGGAATCGAATAGAAAATCCAGAAATAAACCCACAGATTTATGGTCAACTAATCTTTGACAAAGGAGCAAAGACTATGCATTGGAGCAAAGAAAGTTTGTTCAATAAATGGTGCTGGGAAAACTGGGTCGCTACATGCAAAAGAATGAAGCTTGACCACTACCTCACACCATACACAAAAATCAACTCAAAATGGATTAAAGAACTAGACATAAGACCTGAAACCATAAAATACATAGAAGGAAATATAGGCGAAACACTACGGGATTTGCACATCAAAGACATCTTTACAGACACATCACCCAAAGCAGTGATAGTGAAGAGAAAGATAAAACAGCTGGGACTACATCAAATTAAAGAGCTTCTGCACAGCAAAAGAGACAATAACAAAAACAAAGAGAAACCCCACCAACTGGGAGAACATTTTTGCACCCAACACTAATGATAAAGGACTGATCACAAAAATCTGCAAAGAGCTGATGAGACTCAGCAACAACAAAGAAAATAATCCAGTCAAAAAATGGGCAGAAGAGCTAAAAAGAAACTTCTCTGAAGAGGAAATGCAAATGGCCAACAGACATATGAAAAAATGTTCAACATCACTTGTCATCAGGGAAATGCAAATCAAAACTACCATGAGATACCATCTCACACCAGTGAGAATGGCACATATTAAAAAAACTAGCAACAACAAATGTTGGCGAGGATGTGGAGAAAAAGGAACTCTTGTGCACTGTTGGTGGGAGTGCAAACTGGTCCAACCACTATGGAGAGCTGTGTGGAGATTTCTGGACCTACTAAACATAGAGCTTCCATATGATCCAGCAATTCCACTCCTAGGTATTTACCCAAAGGACACAGAAACATCAATTCCAAAGAGCACCTGCACTCCTATGTTTATAGCAGCACTGTTTACAATAGCTAAGCTTTGGAAACAACCCAAATGCCCAAAAATAGATGACTGGATCAAGAAGATGTGGTACATATATACCATGGAATATTACTCAGCATTCAAAAAAGATAAACACATGCAATTTGCAGCAACATGGATGGCACTGGAAGGGATCATGCTCAGCGAAATAAGCCAAAAAGAAAAAGAAAAATACCGGATGGTCTCACTCATAGCAGGAATCTAGAAAACTTAAATAAGGGACCAGGAAAATGAATATAAGAAAGTGAAAATCAAAATCAACAAAAAACTATGAACCAGAGACACTTTTTGGGGGGTGGGGGGCGGGAGGGGAAGGATTGGGGTCAGAATGGGGCGTTTGCAATTGTATGGGGGAATATAAAAATAAAATTTAATATTTAAAAAAAAAAAAAAAAGAAATATAAATTTGGAAATTTCTAGCATAAAGGTAAGGTAAAGCCACAAAACTAGATAAAATCCCCAAGACATACAGACTGAGAAGGAAAAAGTACAGAAACTAAAACTAAGCACCCTGAGGTACTAACCTGTTAAGGGGTTGGGAGGGGTTCAGGATGGTGGTGATGACAGTAAAGATAAAAAAGGAACAGTATAAATGCAGTAAGAAAACCAAAAGAGTATAGTATTCCAGAAACTATGGAGAGGAAGTATTTAAAGGAGAGCATAGTAATCAGCTGTGTCAAACGTGGCTGAAGACAAAACTGTGGAGGTCACTGGCAAAATGGAATGAATGAATGACCTTAATTGAACTGAAGTATGGGCAATGCCTGGCACATGCAGAAGAATATGTTTTTACAAGAGGGTTAAAAAATCACAAAGAAAAACTTAGGTAGCAAGAGATCCCTTCTTGCTGAGCCCTCCAACTGGATTTCCTATAAACTATCAGTTTTATCCTGAAAAACAAAATGAAACAAAACTAATACAATGAGATGGGTTAAAATATGGCAACCCTCATTCTAAAATGACAACTTTAAACTCTTATTGACAAGTCATCTGAGAGCAAAGGATAGCACCTTTTTTTTAAGAGTGTAAATTTATTTCTTTTAGATAAATTCTTCTTCCCTCTGACAAGGTATACAATGGATATATGAATAGTAGGAAATCCTAAATTTAGTTTAGCCCATGAAACTCAAGAAATGGTTCATCCTCACTAAATCCCCCTAGTTGAAGTTACAACATTTACTATGTGTGCAAATGGAAGCAACGATTTTATATTTAGGAAATCAGGCATGGCTTGGTAAAGTGATCATCTTCTCCGTGGCCTGCAAAAGTGCAAGTAACAGCAAAGATGACTTACCACCGGTGTCCCACTTGTGATACAGATACCTCAACCAAACACTATTGCATCTGATTTTTTGCAGAGCACTCTTGAGGAACCTCCCACTTTCCTTATCCTTTCAGATGACTTAAATATGTCTTTTATTTAACTGTCATATACAATAACTACCTTTATGTGAATAAAAATATGTTGTGCTATTCTTCTTTATTCTGGGAGGATAAAAAGTAATTCAGTAGTGGGGTGAGATTTTGTTTTGTTTCCAAAACTTAGACGTTTTAATCAAAATTATACATTTTGGCAGGGAGCATAAATCCAGCATTAACAAGTCACATACCAAAAGACTTCTGCTTCCAAGACCCACTACCTTCAACTTTCCCTCTGATTTTGACAACTGCTGTCAGTTTTTCTTCTCACATTGACATCTTTGATTGCCTAATTAAGAACTTCTTTCACTGATACTGCTGACAGAGGTGTCTCACAGTACATTCATCTTTTGTTCTGCCTTATTATAAAGTGGCCTGGATGTGACCTTTTGTCACCTCCTCTTTAGCAAATGATCTCTGATATGGTCCACCAGAATATTGAGGGATCTAGATAGCTTGGTCTGAGTTAACCAAGCAGGATAGAATAGATGGGTGTTTGCACACTCCTTACTCAATTGGTGGACAAGTGCTAGCTTGGGGGACAACCCGAATGGAAATGTTCCATTTTGTTGTGGAGTATATGGATCAGGTCTCCTCAGGGCTGTAGCCACATCATCATGATTGATCCAGGCAGCTGCCTCCAGTTCTCAGTCACCAGGATCTCTGTCTACCCTGGCTTCATAGCCGCATGACAAGCAATTCTGAGTGAACTATTAGGAAAGGACCACCTCTCCTGCAACTTCCTGTCTGACAGTCTCTTCCAGAGAATTGGCATGAGAGGTGGGCAGCAAGGAGGCATTCTTCGCATTCGGCTGCAAGAGAGCCTTCTCAGTTTAGTGAAGGATCCTTTGAGCTGTTTCTCTTGCTGGTATAAGGAAGCATTGATGTAAAAGGAGCTATGCAGACCTAGATGCACAGCAAACCACGCTTCATGCTGTTCAAAGCATCCCATCAGCACGAACCCTCTATTCCCTTTATATACCCTGACCAACATACCCAGAAGCCTTCCCAACTCTAATAGGCTGTGCTGGCGGACCATGTATTAATGTTCTGACTTTTGAAGCAAAAGAAGCAGGTTATGAAAGAGGTAAAATGCTCCTGTCTGCTAGGCTTTTTAACATGCATCATCATCATCTTTCAGTTCAAATAAATGCCATGTCTTATTGATTAAAAGAGGTTGAGGGCAGGATACAGCACCGCAAAGATCTTCTCCTGCAAGCAATCCCACAATACTGGGGCAGTGCCAAGTCTCTGAATTCTGTTAGGATGCCTTCCTAAACTTTAAGTAACATTCACCTTCTTTTCAGTTTCAAGGCATTTAGCAGTATTCTGAGCTACGTAACGGTAATTCATTCAACTAGCATTTACTATCCACTTATGAACTAGGCAATAAGAATATGGTAGTCAACAAGATAACCAAATCCCATCTCACAGGGAACTTACTATTAAGCTTTAAAATAGGCTTTAAGGGCCTCCCCGGTGGCGCAGCGGTTGAGCGCTGGGTTGTGAAGCTGCCCGCAGCCTCTGCAGCGCCGGTTCGATCCCCGACTGCTCCCCGGCTACCGATGGAGAGTCCCACATGGCACACAGACCTCTCCTGCCGCCCGCTGCACCCCTCAGCAGTGTACTTCAGTCCTTCTGCCTGTTCTGCTCCCCGCTCTGGCTCTGTTGAATTCTCTCACCCTCCCGCGCTTCAGACTGTACCCAGTGCTTGTATAAATAAATAAATAAATAAATAAATCTTTAAAAAAATAAAAAATAAATAAATAAAATAGGCTTTAATGCAAATTATCACAAATGTGATAGACCGTATGACATGGGAATGATATGGAATTATATATATTTGACCTGATTATTTTTACATGTAATTGTAACCACTGCATGATTTTGAAAACGAAGTACCAGCTTCAATTCTTCAGTATATATATAAAATAATAGCAGCACTGTATTTCTAGTTTGGTTTTTTACCCTGGTGCTCATTATCAACTTACTGTTTTGGACAGTGCTCCCAAATACTTCTTGAACAGAATGTAAAAGAGTTAATTTAAAAGGCAAAGCCCTTAAAAAAAAAAACCAGAATTGTTATTAATCTCTCCGCCTCTCACCTTGATCACCAAGTACCAGAGCACCAGCTTCCAAAGCAAAATCTCCATAAGAACTATCTTTTGAAAGAGTTACAGTCAAACCAGAGGTGGTGGTGGTATTACCACAAACATATACGCCACGTGGTGCTACACTGCACACTGCCTAAGGAAAAAAAATTTTTAAATGCATTAGCCAAAGTGAAAGGGAAATAATAGCAAAGAGTAATTACTCAAAATGTAAAATGTTGGCAACATGCCGGTTATTTTCCTAAGAGCTTTGCTATAGAATTTTCACTACCACAATAAGAGGAAAATATTATATCTCCACTTACTAGTGAGGAGACCAATGCATACAGAGTTAACTCACACAGCTCTGAAGGTGCAAAGTCAGGATTCAATCAAACCCAGGGAGGCTGAATGATTCTATCGTGAACACACTACACAAATTCATTTTATGCTTTGTTTTCAAGTTCAAATAGCAAAAAGTGAGTATCAATTTTAGCTTAGAAGATTCCAATGCTTCTTTAAACAGGTAATAAAATGGTTCAGTAATGCTCACCTTCTGAGTAAACAAGTTGTAGCAGATCAGAAAAGTAGTTAAATAACATAACAGTTAAAAGCATGGACCTCTGGAATTAGGCAGACTTATTTAAATCCTGGTTCTGCTGCTATGCTGCTCTCAGATTTCTCTGAGCCCAGCTTTCTTATGTTTCATAACATTATTGTCCTGAGGCATTAATGTGAACACGTATACAAGGCACTAAATGGCCTGCTGACACACAATAAGTGCACAATGCCAGGCTGCTGTATACAGTTGTACACCACGCTACTCTAAGAGACAGTGTTCACACTATTATCTATGTCACTAGTGTGCTCTGGACTGATGCAGTGCACAACCTAAGTAACCCCATAGTGCCTTGCTTAATAAACAGTAGTTATCATTAACTTTGTTACTTGCAATTTCTTACTCATTAGTCTGAGAGGATGATGGTGAACTAGAAAGTCAGAAGACAATGGAATTAAAAACACAAACTAAATGACTGATAACTGTTAGTATTAAGTTGATTTTTAAAAACTTAGCTTAATGGGATTGTATACACAATACCTTCCATTGTTTATAACAGCTTCTATTTCTAAATTCAGTCAAGGGTTTAAAAGGCATTATTCCATATTTAACAAACAGGAAACAATGTCACTTCTTCATAGTAAAAATTTTTCAGTACCACTAAAAGTATTTCATAATGATTATCTACCAAGAGGTATTTCTTAAATAAGAGAAAGAGGAAAATGGGGAGTTTTATATAATGTAAGCAAAATGTATAAATTAAATTAAGATTATATAGATAACCCAACACTGTGGCAATTAAAGCAGGCTTCCACCAATAACACACATGATGCTACAAAACACAGAAATGAAAGCATCTCCATCGGCCCCTTTCACATGCATGTTCTGGCTAAGTACACTGTTCCCATTTTGCTCATCAACCTTTTTTTATCTATAACTAGGGACTCTGCCTCAGCGTTAGGCTGGTAGTAAGGGTTCAGAACAGAAATTTTTTTCGAAGTAGGTCCAGTTGGTCAAAAACAAAATATGGATGAAATATTACAGTAAGAATGAAAGTGATGGGCCTCCCCGGTGGCGCAGTGGTTGAGCGCTGGATTGCGAAGCTGCGAGCAGCCTCTGCAGCGCCAGTTCAATCCCCGCTGCTCCCCGGCTGCTCCCTGGCCACCGGAGGAGGGTCCTGCATGGCGCGCAGACCTCTCCTGCCGCCCGCTGCTCCCCTCAGCAGTGTACTTCGGTCCTTCTGCCTGCTCTGCTCCCCTCTCTGGCTCTGGTGAATTCTCTCACCCTCCTACGTTTCTGACTGTACCCGGTGCTTGCATAAATAAATAAATAAATAAACAAACAAACAAATAAATAAATAAATAAATAAATAAATAAATCTTAAAAAAAAAAAAGAAAGAATGAAAGTGATGACTGGTCTAACACTCAGCCATGGGGAATAAAGATTGACATTAAGTGTGACATTGGTCACAGAAGTGCCTTGCTTTAGACTTAGAGAAAGGAATGTATACAGAGTTTCTAAAATCTAATACAGTGCTTTTGTAGTTGTGTGATGAGAGAATGGGTAATTCTGCTTTACTGTCTCATACTATTCTGTTTTTAAGTGAGGTTATAGCAATACAGACGAGCAAAGTTAGCCTGGGTACAAATGTTGGACACACAAAAAAGGGCGAGGGAAATGGTTAATGTTTTACAATAGTTGCTGTCTCAACAGACCAGAATGCCTATGTCTGAGATTGGCTTGATTTGAAAGAACAGTCAGATGTAAGTTAAATGTTACCTATACAAATTAATTCACTTATATTACCAGATAAACCCTATCTTCTGGAACACAAATGCTACATACATGCTTTGAGAAAATTCACTGGTACATTGTTCATATATTTATATATACTAAATGAATGACTTCTTACCTGTAGCATCTGACTCTTTCCCAGGCCAGGATCTCCCACAACAAGGATGTGTGGGTCTCCTCGAATAGGAATTCTGTTTTTGTCATCTGCATATTTCTGGCTTCCTCCAAAGAGTGCTAATGCCAAACCTGCTTTGACAAGCTCAAGTGTGAAAGAAGAGAAAAAAAGGAAAAAACAAAAGCCAGAAGGAAAATGACTAGTCAAAGGGGTGATTTATGTAAAACACATACAAATATGTAAACATTTTTATGTATTCATGTTTTATATATTAATAAATATATGTGTATCTGTGTGTGCAAATATAAATTCATATGTATGATATATATATATTTGTATATATACAATATATGTGTTTTGTTTATATACAAAATATATGTATTCGTAAATATTAAGCATTGGGGATTTTTTAAAGCATGTGTGACTTAAATTTTTTTCTAAGAAAAAGTCTAAAAACATAAATATCTCTAATATAAATAACTTTTAAACAAAAACTAGAAAGCATGCAAAATCAGAAAGGCACCTTAACAGTCACTAAGCAAAGACCTACCTTGCAAGGCATGAACCATCCACAAAACTAAAAAATATTTCTTAGTTTCTGCTTTAACATTTACAATATCCAGAGTCACTTCAAAAGAAATCCACCCCTACTAACTTTAATTGGTAAGCACTGTTTTCTTATCAATGGCTATAGTTTGCCTCTTGCATCATTAATTTATGGAGAATAATAATTCATATTAAAATACAAATAATTAGCCAGCAGAAATTATGCTTTTGGTGGCATTTTTATATTTATTTTAATCAACTTTACATATTTTTGAGTAAGATGAAGCAAAATACTTACTTCATGACCAAAAATGACAGGGCAAAGGGAGCTGAAAAACAGAATATAACTTATAAATTCTAATTAACACTTCACTAATTCATTAGAAGATCTACTTTACAATTTGCTTAACTTGTTTTACATAGCATCATAAAATTACTCAAATTACTCAAATTTTATTCTAACAATAAATTTCTCAAGGTTCTTGGCTAATCTAGAGAGGGAAGAATGCTTTCAAAACTGTGCTTGTGTAAGGAAAACAAGGTACTTGTAAAGTATTTTAAAGTAACCAAATGTGGGCCTCCCAGGTGGCACAGGGGTTAGGTCTCAGTGCTATCAAGCTATTGCCAGCCACCATGAATTTGATCCCTGGCCAGGGAGCTAACCCACATGGCACGGCAACAGTGTATTTCAGTAGATTTGCCTGTTCTGCTCCCCACTCTGTCTCTGGTGAATACTCCCAGCCCACCCCATACCTCTGGCCTATATCCTAGTTCTGGTATGCATAAATAAGTAAAAATAAATCTCTAAAAAAAAGGTAACCAGATATACTAATTGTTCTTTTTACACTATTATCCTTTATAATGCATCATAATCATGGTCTTCCATGGCATTTTGCATGAATAGACCTCTTTAGACCCATGCAGCCAAGTCATTAACAGAAGGCCAAAGGGAAAACTGAGTACATAATATTGTAAGATGGAATAAAATTTCATTTTTCAGTTTAATTCAAAAGCTCAAGAAAAATAAGACCAAATTTTAATATAAAGAAACATGTTTACACTGATGGGTTGTATATATAAGGAACAAAATATATAAAATGGAAGTGATGTAATCAAGAGGAAACTGTGAATCATTATCCGTTTTAATATATGTCAACACTAAAGTTGGTGTCCTGCCATATGCCCTTGGCACTCATTGTTCAGCATGCCCTGCATAATCACTGCTGGCTTGCTCCCAAGACCTTGTTCCTAAGAAGAGGTACACCTGTCTGCTAAAGGGCTTCCCATGTCCACAGAATCATCAGCAGGCTGGCTTGGGCAGACCAGAAGTGCTGGGTTATCTAATATTTCAAGAAGCAGCCCAAATCTAGGCCCTTTCATGAAAAACACCAAGGCTAGCTCTGTAGAGTCTGGTGTCCCAGAAGCAACAGAAAGATTATGCCCTGGTACATGTTCAATAAGGAACTCGACACTGACTGTCATCCCTTCTCTGTTTTACTTCCCCATGCCCCTACCAATATTTCTAGGGCTTACCCAAATCATGGCTTCTGAAAGGACCTAAACTAAAACAGAACTTCCCACTGTTTTCTCCATTCTCCTTTCATAGTATTCTATTTGTTAACCAGCAAGGGTGAGACAAAACAAACTTTTTCTTAAAGGAACAGAAAATATATGTTTTCCATTTTATTGTCCTGATCACAATAACTCAACTTATGTGAAAGCAGCTGCCCACAATATGCAAATGAAACTGAGCAAAAGTTAGAATTCCACTATAACCCCTGCCCTAGCCTCATGCACATATACCCCACTACCAATATCCCTCACCAGATTTACATTTGCTGCAATCAATGAACCTATACAACACATTATCATCACTCAAGTCTACAGTCTATATTGGCATTCACCCTTGGCGTTGTGGACATTTTATGGATTTGACAAATGTATCAAAATTTTAGATGATTCTTAGTTCAGGGGCCATATACAATGGGCAATGAGCTGGATTTGGCCAATGAACTGTATGTAGTTTGCGTCCATTTTGACTAATTTTTTGTTACTTGTAGCCAAGAGCTCCCAATATGCACATGTGTAATAAAATTCAGGTAACTTCATACATACTTGACAATGAGTTTAAACAGGTTTTCTTCTGCTTGAATCTCTTGGATGGCATAAAGGTCTTTAAGTGAGAACTCCATCAATGCCCCATGCTTACTGCTATCCTCAGAAGTCTTTGTTTTCTGTCCTTTGCTATTGCTAATAGAATTTGCCTCAATGTACAAAAGGAACATGCATTTGTCATTCTTATTTCGAGAACCTGTAAATTTCAAAGTATTAAATATGATTTAGCTGCTGCTTTCATTTTTCCCTACAAAGATTCAAGAATGTGGAAGAAAGGCACAGTATACTATCTTAAAGGTAAACTTCATCTATGTAAAAAAAAGGAGTTCCCTAAATTAATATTCAGAAGTATCTTAAAAAGAGAAACAATGAATATTGACATTTTGTGAGGGACAATCAAAATGAGGAAAGAGTTATACCATACCTTCTTCTGCATTTGAGACCTTGACAACTCCAGTAATAGTCACAGTGTCACCAGGGACACAGCTATCCACTAGATCATGAAAAAGCTCACATTCTATTGTTCGTGGTATCCGACCTGCTTCTCGCTGATCATCAGACATCAGCTCCTGGATTCTAGAAAGTTAAACAATTTTTAGTCAGTACACATATTGACTGAGTTATTTCTTCAGCATACTAACTCTTCAGGGTCCACATGGTGCTGAGCGATATAAAGAGGTTAAAAAATATTCAACATTGCACCTAAAATTACTCTAGCAAGACTTCCCCAGTGGCACAGTGGGTTGAGCGCGCCGCTCTGTTTTGCTGTCCTCAGCTTCTGCAGCGTGGGTTCGATTCCTGTCCGGCCAGGGTGAAACCCACATGGCGTGGCAGACCTCTCCTGTCTCGCCTGCTGCTCCCCTCAGCAGTGTATTTCAGTCTGTCTGTCTGTTCTGTTCCCCGTTCTGTCTCTGGTGGATCCTCTCACCCTCCACACCTCTGACCTGCACCCCAGTTCTTGTATAAATAAATAAATATTTAAAAAAACAAAAAGAAAAAGCAAGACTTTATTTAAAAAAATAAAATAATATTACTCTAGCAGTTTCCAACTAAGGATGGCAGGATGAGCATTACTTTATTTGCCCACCTTCACTCCAATATGTCCACTAAAGTAACAGTCATTAAAACAGTAAAGAATAGTTTTGGGGTATGCAGAAATGTTACAACAAACAAGGGATATTGAAGGAATTTTAGAAAACAACAAATGGGAAAGTATTAAAAGATAAAGTGAAGTATAGAATATACTTCAGCATATAACAATGAACTCTTGAAGAAATCTTTTCTTACATACTTGTGCCTACAGATAAGAATTAGTGTAATACAGGAAAATTATTGATCTATTCAATAGGAGATATCTAAAACCTGCCTTTTATTTAATAGTCTGATTGCTTACTTGATTGATTGCCAGTCCACTGTAACTGTGAGAGGAGAACTTCGGAGAGCAGTAAATGACTTTCCTCGACATACGGGCACAGGACACTGCAACAAGAATAATTCACATTCAGATTCTGTTAAACTATAATCATATCTCAGGAAGGTTCAAGTTAAAATGCTTCATTAAAATTCTTTTAAAGGTTGGTCTCAGAATGGTATTAAAGTAAAATGCACTAAAAATTGCAATGACTTTCTATTTCCTGTGTCATAAGCTTTTTCAATTGGTCCCCCTCGATTACTGCTCTTATTCTTTCTGCTGCAAGGCTCCTGACCTCTTTCTCACATCAAGCACTTATTCTTTTGTGCCTATAGTCTCCCAATTCTTGAATGCCTTCTCCCATTCAGTCCTATAAACCCAGCCCTAATCTCCCTTTCCAAAGCTTTTACTGGGTCTTTTTTAATCCCCAACTCTCCCATCCAGCCTCCTGTGCTACAGAAATATAGTATAATATTTATTGTACCACATAGGACATTGTTAACATGTAAGTAAGTTGCATTCAAATTTTCTTAAATCACTTGTTTGCTGTTTGGATTTCAAGATGCATTTATAAATTCTCTTCTTATAGCAGACTGCATTTTCCAAATAAGTGGCAGCAACATCTTATAAATCTTTCTAGAACCTTGCTACATCCCCATCAAGACATGAAGTCTAGTTTCCCTTTCCTAGAATCTGGACAGACTTGTACCCAGCAGAATGTGGCAGAAGTGATGCTACATGTCTTCCGAGGCTGGCTCAAAAAAAGGGAAAGCCATTTATGCTTGTCAACTATACATCTCTCTTTTGAAGCTACCAGTAAACATGTAAGCAGACCAAATACCCTGAACTGCCATACTGTGTACAAGAAGCCAAAACCATCCTACACAGAAAGATCATATGAATAAGAGAGACCCAGTCAACTCCCAAATAGTTCAGACCCTGTTCCAGCTCCAGCTACCATATAGTTGCAGTACTATAATTTCATCCAGTCAAGCAGTTCATCCAAACTCCTGACCTAGGGAAATCATGAGAAATTAAATGTTTGTGGTTATCTTACGTGTAAGTTTTAGGGTGATTTGCAATGCAGTAACAGTAACTAGAAGAGAGCACCTGCAACACCATCTTTCTGGTCACTTTAATTCACAGGAATGGAGAAGGTACCCAGTAACTTCAGGATGACTGTCTCTGGGAATGTTACAAGCAATGAGTGAAAAAGAGACAAATTGTATCACTCATATTTCACATATTCAAAAAATTTATCTGGAGCTGGCAAAAAATTATGGGTGATGGGTAAAGGAATGTTTTATTTATGTTTTCATTTCCCTGAAGTATGTCATAACTTAAAAACTGAAAATACAAAAATCTTTGTGTTCAGGAAAAAATGAGATATACTTTCTATAAAAATTTGCCTTCTGTACCAAGATAAATAAATAGTTGAAGAATATGACATTACCTTTGTGGGAAGATTATATTTTCCATCTGGAAGAGAGAAACTCTGAACTTCTCCACATGCAGCACAAACAAAAGCCATTCTAGTGCAAAGAGGCTTTATATTACTGACACGAACCACTGTCCCTCTTAGAGCAATGTATTTTCCATAGCAATTTGCTCGGACACTCTTGAGATGCGTCAAGGGCTCATAGTTGTATACCCTAAAAACAAAACCAGTAACATATTTTTATCTATGGATTTACTACGAACAGAAAGTTGAGGATGCCTCTATCTTCACGAATCCCTTTTAGGAACAACTATGGAAATCTCAAAAAATACCATAAATATCTTTATGAACATCTGAAATTTCAAAGAATTCTGTCATTCTTCTCTGTGAAAGAGTGGTTACCAAAGGAGACAGAGGGAGAGAGAGGATAAGGAATGGGAGAGCTAAGGTAAGAGTGTGCTGGCACTGGAGCTCTGGTGGAAGGTAAGTGAAGCTTGTACACTGCGAAGTGAAGTTGTGCTCCCCAAATTATAGCTTTGTAAATAATGGCAAATCAATGAAATTTGATTTTAAAAAAGTTAAGTCATTCTTAAAAAAATAAAAATGTTAAATCTCTTTTCTTCTTGTCCTGCTGGGGAAAAGGGCAAAAAGAAAAAAAAAAAAAAATGCCAAAAAGAAAGTCTATAGATTCAGCGACTTTTGAGTTTCTAACTTCCTTTTCAAGACCTCTTAGGAAATGTCTTCTATAAATTCTGGAAAAGAACAACAAAGCCTTGATGACTACCATAGTCATCTCTTCCAGCGAGAATTTAAAATCAAAATATAATAATGATGACTTTAAAAAAATAAAATTCTGGGCCTCCCCGGTGGCGCAGTGGTTGAGCGCTGGGTTGCAAAGCTGCCGGTGACCTCTGCGGCGCCGGTTCGATCCCCGGCTGCTCCCCGGCCACCTGGGGAGGGTCCCACATGGCGCGCAGACCTTCTCCTGCCGCCCGCTGCTCCCCTCAGCAGTGTGCTTCGGTCTTTCTGCTCTGCTCCCCGCTCTGGCTCTGGTGAATTCTCTCGCCGACCCCCCCCCCATCCCCCGCGCTTCTGACTGTACCCAGTGCATGTATAAACAAAACAAACAAACAAACAAATAAATAAAACATGCCTCTATTAAAAAAAAAAATTAAAAAAAATAAAAAAATAAAATTCTATTTGTTCTCTGTGTTTAGTAGAAAACTACTAATTTTAACAAAATAGAATCAGACAACTTAGTCTAATACATGGATTATTAGATTTAAACAGCAGGGTCTTTATAAGTACACACCCAAAGTCAATGTTCACAGAAATTTACAGACTAGGAAATCAACTATTTGGGCAGAAAAGATTTATTTCTGTCAAAATCTTTTTGAAAAATTTTCTGTGGGTTTACTTGAATTTGAAGAGTAATACAATAGTAAGGAATTCATACTTTTCTCCAATTTCTTTGGCTTTATGAGGTTCTCCTCAAACAGTCTTCAATGCCCAATTTTAAATAATATTTTAATACCAGCAAATCACTCACCTTGCATGAATCTGTGGAACATTTACTATTGTTTCCCCACTTCTGGACAATCCTTCCTGGGCTTGTAATTCAGCTGCGTGCCTTTCGAGGTCCTTAGTTAAAACCTAAACAGAACAGACGTTTACTCAAAAGCTAGAAAATAAAATGTCCCCTTGAAGCAGAACACTACAGAGAATATGAAGTTTATGAAGATCAACAGAATTCTAGCAGCCCCTTAAAACTGATATTTAATTCTGATTACTCACTGTATAGTGGCTTACAATTTACTTGAGATTTTGCTATTCCTGGATGGCAAACTGTTGCATCTCTTGACTGCTTCCTTTTACTGTAAGTAGAACTGATACTAAAATTCCTCATAGTAGCCCCTAAAACTGTTACCTCCTGTACAGGTTCTGGTGAGAACATATGTTGTATTTTCTACTTATTCATAGTAATTAATAGTCAAGATAGAAAATAAAGATGTCTTTCAAAATACCCAATACTTACTTACTTAACATTTGATACTAGAGGAAATAAATATTATCTACTTGTGTACAAAGCAGTATGTTAACAATCTGAGAGAAAATGAGATGCACATACACAGCTATAACTGTCATAGGAACCATAAGATTTAGGGACAAAATACTATGTGAGTTTGAAAAGATTTCACATAGAGACAAGTGAGTTAGGCAAAAAAAAAATAAATTCAAATAAATCACAAGTAAATGTTATATTTCAGTATGCTGTTGTATATAGAATGAATGACATCTTTTGGGACAGGACTACAACTTTTCTATTCTAGCTAAGATCTGCTGGCAAAAATGAAGTCTCTTTCAGAGATGGTACTATTACTCCAAAATCTTCCCTCAAAATTTTGACAAAAAATCTGCACAAAATATTTACCTGATGTATTGCCAGACCCATGCAAGCCAAGGTTTTCTCGGGCGTATCCCTTATTTCACTTGCTATACTTGGTATCAATTTAGCTATTTCATCGTCTTCTGTCAGTTCTTTAAAATCCACCAAAATACTTCCCTTTCTTTCTATTTCATCCTAAGAAATATTAAGGTATGAAAACAAGAATTGCTTTTCAAAGTTAATTATCATAACTGAACATTCAATTATACATTTTGAGAAAAGCATACAATGTTTCTATAGTGACAATAAGGACTGTAAATGTTATGCTAAGAACAGTTCTAATATTTAAATATATTAACGTATTTATGGCTCTTAAGAACCTTTTGTGATAGCTATTAATACTATCATTCTCAACTGATAGATAAGAAAAGCAAGGCACAAAGAAGGTAAGCAGTTCAACAAAGTCTGCACTGCAGGTTAAGTAGCAGAGCTGAGATCTGGAACGAACCAGTTTGACTTGAGTGATTACAATCATAATCACTAGCACCTCAAGTATAATGTTCAATAAGCAACACAAAAAGGTGGACTTCTAGCTTTGTTATATGGAAATCTTACCTTATCATATAAATCAATACGCCTTGTGAAAAAATTTTCAAAAGCTTGAATCTTCTCAATAAAAGGAGAGCTACTGCTGTAAACTAATCCAACAAATATGGAATTAACACTAATAGTCACATATATACAAGCATATTTTCATGAGACAGAAAGAACACTATAGACATTGTAGATGACTTTCTAATTTTGCATTCTGATTATATTTAGAAAGAACTGGTATAGAAAGTATACTTAAAGATTCTGAAACAAGTTTAGGCCTATATGATCTGAAATGCAGACTGGAAGAATCTCTCTCTAAAAGAACCAATATCTGAGAATGTATTGAAGCTTTGACACTTAATAGCACCTATTAATTCAAATAGCTTACACAGTATGGCTCAAAGCAAACACCTTAATAAAGTCAAAGCTATGCACAGCAACTCTTATTCTGAAACCATTGAAGATAAGCAGTCTTGGCAAAGTAAATTCTAGTCCAAACTGACACTTGTCAGGTACTGTTCTCAGATCAGACAGACCAACACTTGACTTTGGTCCCAAAATTTTAAACCTATCTTTTATACTGTAAAGTTCTGTAACATTTTTAAATTGGCCTCCCAGAGATAAAAGGTACAATGAAGTAGTTTGGAAGGACAGCTGATCAAACCTAATCACCTCCTAAATTACACCTTTAGAACCAGCCCAAAGATCACTTCTAGTCCTCTGACTTAACAGTGAGGGAAATATTTTCTTAATTTGTCTTTGGCAGCTACATCTCATATAATTTATTTAGTTACTGATATATACTCCCTTCTTTAAGTTCAGTTCACCCAAGCATTTAAATAATGTTTATGTTTCAAAAGCATTATTTTTAGGTTTTCTGTCAGTCCGGAAAACAGAAACCGCATGATTATTTGTGTTGGTAGTTAAAACATCCTAAAGCAAAAAAAAAAAAAAAAAAAAAAAAAAAAAAACACATCACCTATGAAATATATCTTTCTATTTAATAAAAACATACTCACTACAGAAAACATTTGTAACTTTTTATTCATTCAAAAAACAAATACTAAGTACTTGGACAGGGCAAGATCCTTCCTTTCAAGTAGGACAGTCTAGTGGGAAAGAAACAAACACAGTTATATATATACATATATATGTAGGGGTGTGTGTGTATATGTATATGTGTAGAGAGAGAGAGAGAGGTATCTGTAACACCTATCTAGTGAGAGTCATAAACATATGGATTCTACATGAGATTAGAAAAGAGAATTCTCTAAACATATATAGATGTATGATGTTAACTAGTGTTCTTAATTAGAAAAGGGAGAATCCTTAACTGTGCTTTTACACAAAACCATGTTGGTTATTATCTCTAAGTTCCAAGCCCACCCTCCTATTTTTCTGCTGTGATGCTACCATCAAGATCTGCACACTGCATTTCCCAGACTCCCTTTAGGTTTTGACAAATGGAGGCACTGTAGAGAACGTAAAGTGGCAGGAGAGAAAGGTATGTTATCTCTAATTCTTTCAGCATCTCTCCAACTATCCTAACTGTAGAGGAGGCTACAGTTCTAGCCTCGTGCTCAAATCAGCAACTGAGCCATCCTCCTGCTGTTACCAGCAGCAACCAATTTAATTTGCTTCAGTGGCCGCAGCATAGCTCTAAAGGATACCTGTCTAGCCTTCTATGCCTTCTAAAGAATAGCTTTGTAGGATGCCCTACAGAGGTCAAAGCAATACTACGGGCCTTCCTTTGAATTGCAAGGTTCTGGTAACCTCAGAACTATTGTTATTATTATGATTATTACTATTATTATTATTTTATTCCCTTGGTCAAAAGGTAGTTTGCTGCTTCTTGAAGTTACTACTATCTGGGGAGTTCCCTCAGTGTTCATTTTTGATTTTTTTATTCTTCAATCTATATAACCAATTCCCTATATTGAAATACTTAGTGTAGTTTCTGTTTTCCTGACTGACAGAAAACCTAAAAATAATGCTCTTGAAACACAAACATGATTTAATTGTTTGGGTGAACTAAGATTCAAGAAGGGACAATATAACAGTAAGTCAAATAAATTACATGAGATGTAGCATCCAAAGACAAGTTAAGAAAATATGACCTTTGTTTGGTACTTTTGCATTTTTAACTCTACCTTCAGAGAAATAAAGTTTCCAGCCTTTATATGGTATGAATTCATCTAATGTTGATTGTAGTAGTGATGACCGTGGGGTTTTTTCTAGGGGAAAAAAAAGGGTACTATATGTTAGCAGAAATGAATCAAACTTTTTCCCCAACTGCTCCTTCCAACAATGAGAACCTGACATAGTATCAATAGAATATCTAAATTACAGGTTTGGGCATAAATTTTGTATTTAACATCCAAATAGTAACTTAAGGGGTAACATAAATAAAAGAGAAGACTGAATTTTAAGTAAAACTGCTTTGTGTAATTGGCATAATGGATTCCTTCATCAAAGGGAGGAGGGAGGAAATCAAATAATCATGATTGACCTCCCTACCAGAAGTTTGTTTTCCTATGTTTTTACTCAAATCAGTTCTATGTTCTCTTTCTCTCCATCTTCCTGAGAAGTTCCCACCACCTCTTCCTCTTCTCCAGCTTTGAAATCGTCCCCGTCCAAATCCTCTGCCTCTATGTTCTCCACTCATGTCTTCTAAAAGAAAGATTAGGAAAGTCTTCATCAAAATTATTATAAGGAAAATAGTGCTCCTGAATATGAATTAACATAGTAAGCAGACAAAAAAATTAAATATTCTTTAAATCAATTTAATCAATTATTAAGAAAGTTAATAACTAAACAAATTCACTATGTTAGGGCTGGAGAGAACTTTGACAACATCAAGATCATATCACACGTGAAGAAATTAAAGCCCAGAGCAATTCAGCGAAGTGACTGAGATCAAAACTACTGGGGAACAGAACTGAATTCAAAACTGTCTTGAGACTCCCCACACGAAATAATACGATGAGAAAAACTGGTAAGAATTTCAACACAAACCAAGAGTAAAAGAGCCACCTGCAGGCTTTGTAGCATCCAAAGACAAGTTAAAAAAATAGAACCTAAGGTACTTTTGCATTTTTAACTCTGCCTTCAGAGAAATAAAGTTTCCAGCCTTTATATGGTAAGAATTCTTCTAATGTTGATTGTAGTAAAAATAATGTAATAAAAATAAAATTAAAATTATGTAGTAAAAATAATGTAATAATTAGAAAAAATAGCAATAATAATGTAGTAAAAATAATTCAATACTCTACTTTATTCACAACTCCTCTCGAAAAGTTCTTACTTGCCAAGGACAAGGTCCCCCAACTCTCCTACTCGGGGGCGGGGCGGGCTCCGGGGTGGAAGCATCAACGCCCGGCCAGGCTCTCGCTTCCCCCCGCGGTCGAAGCACCGCAGAGCCCACGGGCGGTTGAGGGTCGAGCTCCTCAGAGGACCCCTGCGCAAGCGGGAGGTTTTCTTCAGCCGCTCACGAGCCGGGCAGGGTCTCATCAGTCAGACAGGATCCGCGGCCTCAGTCTCCACCCACCCGCGACTGCTAGGCGGGGAACTATTCACCGCCTGAAGCCCCCGGCCAGCCGGTCTTCAACTTCTTTTTTGGCGCTTCCGTGACGCAACTTCCGTCCAAGGATGAAGCCAGACAGGAGGGGGCGGGAACGCGTTCAGCCAATCAAGGAGCTCAGCCTGACGGAAGTCGTGAGGCTCCCGGAAGTTGTCCGGAGATTCGTACCGGAAAGCGGAAGCGGCGCGCAGCACGTGGGGGCGGTGCTGGTCGGCGGGCTCAGTGTCCCCTGCGTCTGTAGTCTGGGAGGCTGGCTGCGGCGACTACGGAGGGCGAGGGGGACCGGAGAGACGCGGTGGCCTGCAGCGGCGGCCTGAGCGTCATGGAGGACTCAGGGGAGCAGCCAGGCCCACAGCCAGCACCTCCAGGGGACCACCGTATCCGCGACGGCGACTTCGTGGTGCTGAAGCGGGAGGAAGTGTTCAAAGCTGTGCAAGTCCAGCGGAGAAAGTAAGTCAAGTCTCTGGCCTTAGGGATCTCTCTCCCTCTGCTTTAAGATACCCCGTTTCTCCACGTTTTCCCAGCATACGCTTCATATCAGGGATCCATTCTTGACTGTGGGTCCCCGGTCTCTTCTGGTTATCGCCTCCCTGGTTTTCCCGGACTGACATTTCCCCCAGCATCCCATCCTCGGGTTCCTTCCCCTCCTGCGTTCCTAAAGAGCGCCCCTTCCTTGGCTTCATGCCAGGCCCACAGCCTCCCTCCCAGTTTGTCCAGAGTCCCTTTATTATTCTTGGTACCCAGGTGCTGTCCTCTCTCCAACCGCCAAACCCCTGTCCCAGGGCTCTTTCCTTGGGTTCTTTCTCACACTGACCTTTTACGTTGCTTAATGTTGAAAGGGTGGTTGTTTGAGTTTGCTTCTTAATAATGAGGTCTTTTAGACTATAGCTTTTTTTAATTGCCAGGACACAGAAAGCAACATCTTTAGTTTAAAAAGTACTTTTTAGGCATTTATTTGGAAACACTTTTCATCATCACTTTTCCTGGCAGAAGCCATAGCTTTAGTTTCCATATATTTAGAAAATGATCCTCTGAGCTCAGTTATATCCCAGGCCAAACTCTCCCTTCCCTCTTTCCTTGGCTGCACTGGTCACCCTGGGCAGAAGCAATCCTGACTCTTTCCCAGCAAAGACATAGCTCCACATCCATCTGACTGGGCTCTCCTCTCCAGACTGGGACAGTGACATCCTGTCAGGCCAATCATGTAGAGTGACACACACTCCTTTGCATATCATACCAGCTGCCAGGTGGTACACCCAGTGCAACTCAGTCCCAGTATTTTATTAGCACCTGGGTGCCAAAAGGATGAGTACAGGGTGCACCTCTGGGCCAACCTGAGTTTTATTTTCTCTGGGAAGTTTGATGTCAGCAAATATTTTGAGTATGTACTATGGGTTAGTAAATGGGGACCCAGCAGAGAATAAGAATTAACTCTTCCTGTGTCACTTAGACTCTAACAGAAATTCATTCAGGTGGTTCAAATGTAGAGATTTAAATGAAGAAATGTTATATACATATGTAGAAGCATGGCAGGATTCCGAGAACTAGTAAAGAATGGTGATGCATCCAGGGTCCAGCAAGGGTGGGACATATTCAGCAAGGGTGCCTGGGTGATGTGGTCTATGCATTCTCTCATGATCAGCTTCCAAGGGCACAAACAGTTAACTGTTACATCTCTTACAGGATTCAGATTTCTGTGGTCATGGGCTACATCCTGAAGCTGGGTAGGGCTTCCTGACATCCACTCATCTTTGCCTGGGTTGACCGTGTGACATAGTGACAAAGACCAAGATTTGGAGTCAGACAGACCTGGATTTGAATTCCAGCTCCCACTTTGTAACTGAATCTTGGACAAGATACTTTTCTAAAAAGATTTGTGTCCCACACCTTCCACATACTGTCTAACCCCAGATCAACATAGCAGATGTTTGCTGTTTATTTTTTTAAAGGGAAAATTTATTTTTATCTGGTTTCCCTTTTAAATTGCAATAAGAGGGCCTCCCTGGTGGCGCAGGGGGTTAAGCACCACACTATGAAGCAATCCACAGCCTCTGCAGCATTAGTTCAATCCCCGGCCAGCCAGGGAGAAACCCACATGGCGAGGCAGACCTCGCCTGACTCGCCCGTTGCTCCCCTCAGCAGTGTATTTCATTCGATCTGCTTGTTCTGCTCCCCACTCTGTCTGTGATGAATCCTCTCACCACCCCCACACCCCTGGCCTGTACCCCAGCTCTTGTATGTATAAATTAAAAAAAATCTTTAAAAAAAATTGCAATAAGATAAAAATCTGGGTCTTGGGAAAACCTAAAGTTGCCTGTGCCTCAGTAGAACATGATTTCAAATGTGTAGATTTAAGTCTGATTTATTTGTAAATATAACTTAGCTTTTATTAGATAATTTTCAAAGAAAATAGGTAGGCCAGGGAATTTGTAAAATTCCTGTTATTTCAATGATTGTTTGGTTTTGAGATTTTCTTGTGCAAGCTGCAAGTGGTGTCACGGTATGTGACCAGAAGCCTGGCAATCTTGGTCACCCTTTATGCTGTTCAGGAAATGCACAAAATCTTATTTGGACTTTCTGTCAGTGAAAACTAGAGTCAAAACAGTGCCTGCCAAGAGGAATGTCTACTATTCCTGTTTCTTATTCCAAATTCAGTATTCTTATGGTTCCTATATTATAACTTTATGTCTCTGCCTCAGCACAGTGTCCTAATTCATTTCAGTTTTGTGTGCAGAGATACTGCTGCTGACTATCCTTTGTGGAGGCCAGTTTTAAAGTAAACTACATTGAACATGTCTTGTCTATACTGAATGCAAATCAGATTCAACTAATTGATTTGAATTTTCTTCCCCAGGAAAGTAACTTTTGAAAAACAGTGGTTCTACCTGGATAACGTCATTGGCCACAGTTATGGTACCACATTTGAAGTGACCCATGGAGGAAGTCTTCAGCCTAAAAAGAAAAAGGAAGAGCCTACTTCAGGTACCTGAATTTGCAAGAATAAAATAGTTGTTATTGAGTTGGCTAGTCAGAAACCTGTCAACCCCCAATTAACTTGTGCCACAAAGAAATCTAAAGTTATCGTGGAAGAACTTAGCATGGTCTGCCTTTGGCTTTGAGATATCAAGATTCTGACCCCCGCCCATCATTAACTGGCTCTCTGACCTTAGGCAAGGCATTTAATCCCAAGAGTTCTTGCCACTTCGATGTAAAAGCAATTGTAGAGCTGGCCTAGAAGTTAAATAACAACTGTGCCCACAAGTTAAGTAATAACTGTACAATAGAGATTAAGAGGTCTGACTTTGAATTCAACTAGCTAGCTTTAAGTTCCAGCGCCATCACTTATAACCTTGGGACAAGTTATTTGGTTTTTCCAAGTCTTATGTCTGCATCTGTAAAATGGGACAATAAACACATTTAATTCCTGGGCTATGTCAAATGTTCAGTGACATAACACATAGGAAATTTTTAAGAGTTCCTTGTAGGTAGTAAGGACTCTATAATTTTAACTTATTAATTAAAATACATAAATATTAATGTGAACATACAATAAAATAAATAACAAATTTAAGTAATTAAAATAATGTTAAAATTCTGGTTCATACCAGTTAATAGAATACTTAAAAGTTAACATCCATAGTTTTGTCAAGGCATGATTCAGCCATGTGATTACATAATTCATGAACTCGACCATCTCAGAATTCCCTTAGTAATAGAAAACACCAAAAATAGTCAAGTAGACATGCCAACAGCATTTCAGATGATGATATGCTATGAAGGTGAAAGGATAGGGAAGTGAACCAGGGACTGATTGGATGAGGTGAGACTTGGCTGACATGATAAGCTCAGCCTTGAGTGATGGAAAAGGTCCAGCTACTCAGAGATCTGTTGTAAGAGCATTTCAGGTAGAGGGGGCAGCAAGTACCAAAGCCCTGCAGAGGGACCGTACTCGGTTCATTTAGGAACCGAAGGAAAGACAATGTGGCTAAATTAGAGCTCCAATAATGATACCAGAAAACAGTCAGGGCTAGGTCATATACAACCTTAAAAGTTGGTCCTCTTTTGAAAGTATTCAAAACCACTGTATGGTTTTGTTCATCAGAGTATTTGAGCCAATTAGTATTATAAAAAGAGAGCTGATGTCCAGGTGAATGTGGGGCAAGAGTGGGAGCAGGAAGATAAGCTTGGAATAGTCATGGCAAGAAAGATTAGTGGACTGGGGTAGGGGCAGTGGAACTGGAAGGCCAAATTTGAGTGGCTGATGGACTGAATGTGGATATAAACTTAGAAAAAGAAAGATTATAAAATAATTTCTGATCATAAATGTCATAGAGCAATTTCCTTCTTTAGAGACCAAAGAAGCGGGCACTGATAATCGAAATATAATTGATGATGGGAAATCTCAGAAACTTACTCAAGATGACATAAAAGCTTTAAAGGACAAAGGCATTAAAGGAGAGGTAAAATTCAAAGGATGTTGTGTTTTGTTTTGTTTGATATTTAGGAAATGGCTTTGTTTTTAAAGCAGACTTTGCCTAAGACAAAATGTAAAAATTATACTCGTTACTTTTATTAGAAATAGCTTTGAGATGTAAATGCAATTCAGTAGAGCAAGGACTTCATCTCTTATGTTCAGGAATATAATGAATGACTTTACTAACATTGTTAGTGGTAGAGGATTTAGTATCAGTGCATATCAGAGTTTAACTTGTTCATTTTCGATAGTGATTTCAACCATTGTCTTCAGGAATGACAGTTTCCTTTACCTCTCCCTTTGTTGTGTATCCCTGTTCTTTTACTATGCTTTAAATAGAGTTATAAAGTACTTGTATTTTAATACAAAATCTAGATAGAGAATAAAAATACACAGTTCATCTATTTGGACTTCTGTGGAAAAGGGACTGGAGAATCCGTCCTTTGGATACATTCTGGGGTAAGAAACCTTTGAAATCATCTGTTCTGTTAAAATAGTTTCAGGAAATCTGCTTACTCCTTTTCTTATAGGAAATAGTTCAGCAGTTAATTGAAAATAGTACAACA